AGTCGTGCTTCGGGATCAAAAGGTTGGTGCATTATGATTTATTACTTGTGAGTGGAGCTGGAGAGTAAAGCGTCTGTTGAGGGAATTATTCCAATGGAAACATTGTTGCATCAAAAGTATTCGCACACTTTATTGAGGTGGTCTTATTCACTTCGTTCATAGCACTTTTAATACGTGTTAAAAAGGTCTCACAGACTAACTGATCACCACGGCTGGATGTTTTGCTGTCAGGTATTTACTGCTGCTAAAAAAGAATACGTAACAATGTGGGTGTCCTGAAGCCAATAAAATCCATCAGGTTTGCAACGCGGTTTGGTGCCACTGCGTCATTATAAACTGACAGGGACTACTTTTCACATGTTTGTGACGTCGGTGGCAAACGCAGTAATGGTGGATATCGTGAAGTTCGTAGTTTTTTAGGTATGCCTGCTGTATAAAAGTGGTAATCCCTGAAACGTCACATTGTTAGTTAAATCATGATAACCGCTTTTAATGTGCAGATTTAGACTGCTGTTTCGCAATGACCATCGTTAGATCGCTGCAATTTTGCTACCACTGATATTGTTCTTTTCCACAGGCTTAAGCAACTCTCACGTCCTCTTTGGTGGCAAAAGTGACGAAAACAACCCAAATTTTGTGAAGTTCACCTTTTAGCCCATTTTGGATCTCAACCGACTGACATCCGCTCACAACTAGTATTTTGATCAGTATTGCTCTTGTCTGCTACCTAATCCTACGCTTATACTTTGTTCAGTTGAAGCGGCTACCCAAGGGCACAAAACCGCAGGTTCGACAAGGTCATTCTAGCGGTATAACAACCAACTTGACCAAAGATTCTCCAACTCAACCAGGTATGATTTCTGATTTGGTACCAGAAGGCTAGTGGATTGCTACTAACGTGTGATATTCCACCGGTAAAACATCTTTTGTTGGATTACACCAGACCAATCACCACAATCGCCCCCTCCACCACTGGCCCTCCTCGAGATTCCCATGACTTTGGAGATACAAGCCGCGATCCATCAGACCCCAAGCTCCTCAGGTCGTCGAAAAAGGCGTAGCAGAGGTGGTCGTGGAGGTGGCGCCACTGGAGCTAGTAGCAGCACCCTTCAGGGTTCTATCTCCTTTTCCCGTTCAGGCTGCGCTAGTTTTACTCCTTCTCAGCCTCAGGTAACAAAATCTGGTGTTCTTTGCTTGACAATTCTCAAAATTTTTAAACAGTTTGAAAATGTTTTTACAGGATTTGCCCTCTTCTGGAGAAAGAAAGCAGCAAGACTGGCTTTAGTCATATTTTGTGCGCGCACGGGTGTGTGCTTGTGCGTCGATTGTTTAAGCTGCCGTGCACTAGGTCTGTGTGTGTGTGGAATGTTTATTTCCATCCTTTGTTTTGCTGCCTCTGTGTGTGGGTGTTGGTGCGAACTCGCGGTTTCGTTCGTTAAAGCGGTAAAGTGTTGGTTGGGGGTGTAGGGAGTGTCTTTTTTTCTGTCTTACAGACGTGGTGTTTGGAGTGGGGAGAGGGCGTTCACGGTTGCTTCCCTCCTCTCCCTTTTGTCCTCCGGCTCAGTTGACAGCTCAGCACATTCACGCAGAGGAATGAATAATAGCAGAATTGCATAACTTTCGTCATTTAACTTTATTGGTTGCGAGGAATTATTTCTAGTCACTGCGAGTATATCCTAATTTATTCGCACAAAAAATGATTTAATCTGCGTGCTTTTCATGTTTCCGTTATCGTTACTCTCTATTAGAAGGATTGATCAAGTTAAACTGAGCCTTTTCATCTTCTTCAGCAAAATGGCGCATTTCCAGGAATGAATACAGCATTTATTTTTGCACTTGTCCTCACTTTTAATGCATATCTGGGAAGCTTCGGCACGGAAAAAAGTTTATTACTTCGTCCACAAGCTTCTACGGCTTTGGTGTTCCTTTTGGCTCCAGAGGGAGATGATGCACCCGGTTTTCTTTGTATGAAATAATACAATCCCGAAAGCTATGGTCCTTCGGGTCAAAACGCTCCTTGGAGTTAGGGCAGCACCCAAGGACACCAGAAAGCTGTGCCGGTATCCAGCGTGGGCCAACTTGTCAAAATCGCGAGTGTTCTGCAATGATTGCGTAGTCTTGTGTCCATTGTTTTCACAGAAAGTTTCATCTTGTGTACATTTTCAACCCACAATGGGTTGCACGTCAAACGTGTATGTAGGAAGAGGTGTTCTACGTGATGGCTGATCGCTCACGGAAATGACTGTCAAAGCTGTGGACTTGGAACGCAAACACCACAGCAAGGCTCGACATCGACGTGTAGACATACGATCATCTTTGAAGCGTGTACACCATTCCGCTGTCTTTCTGCTCAGCGACTGAGTTGCCGAGCGCGTACCATTATCACCGTACTGTGTTGTGTGTGTATGCTTTGGCTAGTATCGCCGGGTTCGTGTTTGACACCTTCGTCCACAGGACACTTGGATCATCACCCTTCCTACGCTGTTGTATGCAAGCCCTCAGTACCACTGCTGCCTGTCGTCCTGGTAAAGCGTGTTTTTGCCGTGGATGGTGCGTCCAGAGGCCTATTGCCATGACAACATGCCTTTTTGATTTTCGTTTTAATATTTGAAATTCCTTCCTGAACCTCTTCCTTTTTGCGATTTCTGATCTTTACCTAACAATTTAATGCTTTCTTTCTTTCCTTTGGTTCTAGAAAAAGCGCAACAACTGAGGCCCTTGGAGCGGGGTGGAGGGAAGCACCGACGACGTGATGTAACGCGGACCTCTCTCTGTGTATTTTGTTTTAGTGTCATTATTTTGTTTACCCATCGATGCGGCTTGTAGATTGAACAGAACAGCAAACAGAAAGCGTTTTTGCTCCAGCTGCAGATATCATGCGATTTCCTTTGTCAACTCTCATTTCGCTTTTTTTAGCCGTAACTGAGTAGGGCGGCTATTGAAGTCACGTGAGTTGGAGGGGAGGCGGGTTGGGAGGACTGGAATCAAGGTTTAAGCGAATATGGTCGGGTTGTTGTGCTTTTCTCGTAAACTGAGCTCTGCTGGCGTTCAGAGGTAACAGCATCACACTGCGTTGAATTGATTGAAGAGGCATTAGAAGAGGAACGTATTGCAACAGCTAACAGGGTTTACCGCCCACCTGGAGTTGTGTCGTTTAGGTACTAACGCGTAGAATTGTCCTTGGTTTAGGATTGCTTTGCGTCTCCTTTGCTCTAAGCCCATCAAACATTGTCGCGTCAAAATCTGTCCGCTGTGATTCGACAAAGAATTTGTCACATCTGGCCGACAGCCTGTACATTAAGTGGGTAGGTGGAATGGCACAGGTCCGCCGTCGGAGTGTGCTGTGCTTTGCCCATCATTTAAGGCGGCTACTGTCAGCCAGGTCAGAGATTTAGGCCAAAGTTTGGTCACTGTTTGGATGACATCTAGGTTATGGGGAGGAGGCGGGGTGGGCGTCTAGTAGGGAGACGGTGTGGTCCTGTTCGGCGTTGAAAGTATCCGGTGGGCCGGGGGTGATTGTCGTTAATGTGTGACACGCGGGTTTCGACTCAGGCGGTAATACCGGCGTTTTCCGTTAACCCTCTCTTCCGTGGCAGCATGTCAAGATGGGGCAATGAATGAGCTTGCAGGTGATTTTTCCTAGTTCTGTGGAGCAGCGAAGGTGTCTACTCAGGCAAGGTTACTTCCGGTGTACCCATCGTCGTAGTTTTCGCGCTGTGATCAAAGGTGTTCCTTGGGTAAGATTAAGTATGTGCTTTTCCCTCCAAAGTAAGGTGGATGATTCGGTAAAACCCTAAAAAGGCTGCGAAGGATTAGATTGGCCTAGACAGTTTGTAAACCCTTTCAGGCTAAATGACCAGTAAACCTAAGCGGATACTTGGCATCGAATCTTGACGCCCGTGATTACTCACAAACAAATGCCTGGGAAAGTGGGATTCGCTGTAGGCACATGCTTACAGTAGATGGTTTCGTAGATTTGTTGACTGGCTCGTGGCCACTCTGAACTCGTAAGAGCTGATCTTTTGGTCGAAACAAAAGGAGGGGTTCGGTCTTTCAAATCGCGGAGCTCAGTGTGGTAAAAAGTTAATTGAAGATTGGACATAGGTCACTTTTTAACACCCCTTTTGAATGACCCATTCTTGTAAAGCGGCGTGCCGATGATAGGGCGATAGCATATCCTGGTAGAAGGAGATTTTAGTTGGCAAGTCTTGCATTTTATTGTGCGACGGACTTTCCACTTCTCAGTACGAATCAATGATGAAATCTTTGTACAGTTTCTTATTAGGTTACAGCAGTGATTTTAACTACCTAGCTTTAGTAACCTTGATATTGACGTCCTTTCTGAACTTTAAACATTGTTAGCTACCTGATTATGACGTGTAACTGTGCGGAGCTCTTTATCCGCTCATAGTAGAGAACTGGTAGCATCAAATCGTTTACGTAAGGCCTAGCGGTTGGATTTAGAAGTAGTAAATGGGTGGAAGATGTTCTTGGTCTGAGGGTAATAATATTTCTTAATCTTTGAGCAGAAAATAAGCTTGTCAGTTTGATGGCACTAGCAGTGGTGTCAAGTCTAGTGGAGATAATCACTTTGCCTTCAAGACTCTGGTAGTGAACCTGCTAGGCAGTTTGAGAAACCATGGTGTTTAATGGTAAAGCCGAATTCCCGCGAGTGCCAGAAAAAATCTACAAATCACTTTATCTGTGTGATTTAATCGTCCTCAAAGGCATTATAAGGCTTTAAGTTTAGAAACTTGAATGATCTGAACAAGTCTGCATGCCACCAGCACAAAGGCTGATCTGCAGAAGATTGAGTAGACCAGCATAGTCAAGTGTGCTGCAAAGACAGCATTCTTTTACTCCATCAAGTACCACCATTTTCTGATTTGGTCTTTCTCAGCTCTAGGTCAAGTCAGTACACACCCATAACCAATTAATAAGGTGTCACCGTAATCAAGGTACCTTTAAAGGGTGCAAACATACAGTAAATCAAATAAACAGAAGTCCTACTTAAATAGGCCATGCATTGTGGGGATAATGTCGTGGACAAAAGAGCATTCCTTAATAACTTAGATCGTCTCTGACACTGTGTAACACAAGCACATGCATACATACACATGTTCACATGCTAGTTCACACTTGTAACAGCGATTACCGACACAAGATAGGAGGAGGCAGAGCTGGAGCAAAAGTGTCTCGCGCTTTAGTGGATAGGTAATTAGCATTTGCCGAGAGACAGCTTCCTCCTGTGGGTAAATGTAGTTTTTGCTCGTTAACTTCTTTACTGGAGAGAGAGGGGGAGGGGGATGGGGAGAGTTTCGAAAATTGCCCTTGTGTATGTGTGCGCAAAAAGACTTTCTCAAACCGCACTGAAATTTTAGGAAATGTCAAAGCCAGTTTTACACTCTGCATCAGAAAGGAACGTTCATGCTAGTCTGTTGACAATTTGTTAATTCACTTAAAGAAGAGAGTTGGCAACAGGCTAAACTTCTGGGTAATAATGTGTTTATTCCTCATTCTTTAAAAGGTGTGTTGTGAAACGCAAAGTTTGTATAAGTCAATGCGGCGAAAGAGGGCTGTCAATACTCTATTTTTGACCCATTGTTTTCCGGATCAGTGAGACAAGATTGGCTGAGACCAGTACTTAACTTCATAGTTTGATTGACCTTTTGCGAAACGGCAATACTTCCTTCCCTGATAGCCATTTTAAACAACTTAAGTTGAAAACATAAGCAAATAAACACCTTAGACAGTACCAGCGGTAAATCTACTTTTGAGGACTGGTGTGGAGCTAAAATCAAAATTCAGAAGCAAAATCACTGCTATTAGCGTAGGTACAAATAAATTATGGATTAAAATTGAAAATTCAGGCGGCTGAAATGCTCCCAAAAGTTCTTAGTTTACCTTTACTGGCTGCAGATGGGGAAGACCTCACTTATCCACTATGAATTACGACTAGCAAAAATGAAGCTAGTAAGACCGAAAAAGAAAAGATTACAGGCCAAAAGTGTTAAAACCGCTGTATATAGCTTAAGATTCCATAGCCACAATCTCCAAATAGCCTATGAAAATAATTTTTATAAAGTCTTTTTGGTACGCGGACTCCTGCAATATAATTCGTCTAACCGCCGCACTTACAGCATTTTAATTGGCCAGCTCGACGGCACGTGCGCACATGCATGCATCGCTCTCGCGATGTGATTGCATCCGCGTGCATGCGCACGCCTCTTGCACTTCTCATCCTTCTTCCCCCCACGCAAGCGTGTGCAAGTGTGCACAAACACGCACACGCACGCACCAACATCCATTAGCGCTCACTTCTGGCAGGAATGGAGTGAGACGGAGTGTCGTCGCGCCCGCTTGCCTCTGGCACCGGCCAATTGCAATTCGCCTTGGGGTACATCTTTGCACTCGTCTCTCAAAGAGGCGCCATTTGCCTCCTCTTACCTCTCAAGGAGGAGTATTTACAGGTTAACCGCATTTCAGTGGTGTGGTGTGGTGTGTTGGAACTCTCTTCTGCTATCTCTTGATGTAAAGCGATGTTTATCCTCAGGTGAGCTACAACCCATTCTCCTCCTTCTATCCATCAATTAGCTCATGAAAAAGTATAAACCTGCCATTGCTTTTTCAATAAATACTGTAATCCACTCAATTTTCAAATGTTCTAGCATGCCTATTCATTGAAGAAAGCAGGCCCTGAAGTTTTCATGAGCGTCACACTCGAATGTAATTAATTTTTTGTTGAGTCCAAGCCACTACCTGAGATCACATAATTTCGATGTTACTGGCCAACGATCGAAATCTAACATGACTATCAATTGTTCAGTTTGATAGCCCATTAGTCACTAATGTGATGACAGGTGGGGACAATCCGGTACCCCAAGTAGCCTTAATTTGGGAGATGGAGTTACAAAACGCCTATCTTTGAATCGACATGTGGTATAACCTTTTTTGGAAACTTGGAATCGTGTCACGACATTTACAATCGCTTAATCCCAATCTAGTCAGTTCAAAAGCGTCGAATTTTTTTCCTTTTATTATTCTGTGAATTCAGTCACAGTTCAATACTGGCCCTTGCCGCGGTTTGGTACCGATGTACCTTCTCTATTTAAGCTGAAGCCGTCTTTTACACTTTAGACTCGCAATTAGAGCATTCCACTTGGCGGAGGCCGAATTGTCCGACGATTCGCCTTCAAGGAAAGAGAAAAAATCCCTGGCCTCACCTACTTATCCACTACCCATACCATCCCACTCTGTAGACCCGATCATCTTCCAGTTTGGTCGAAAACGACCTAGTGATTGTGATGCCCTGGACACACGGCAACACCTCTTCAGCCCCAAACGATTGTGTCTCGATGCCTCATCAGAAATCCCCTCTTCTTCCCTCCTCTACAGTGTGTTTTTGGGTTGTGAAGATCCCTCTTCGGAGTCCACAAAGAGAAGCCGGCTTAGTTATTATCCCAGCATACTCAAAAGACCCCCACCTTCCCGAAAGCGCGCTCCACTTAATGGCAGCTTCCACAACGCCAACCAGGATGCCCTACCTATGTCCGCACTGACCTACCAATGGCTTGTGACTGCGTTCTGGGGTCAAATGTTGGCAGCACGAGCGTGGACACCGCCCAAGGAGGAACCGCTGGATCTCTCCTGCAAGCAATCAAAATCGCAGTTCGTCAACAGTAACATATTCAGTAGCATACGTCGATTAGCGGAACCGGTGGAAAATGCCCCAGTGGGCCTTGACGCAGAGATACGAAGGTGCAATACCTTTCCACAGACCTTCTGCAGGCCCACCATGGATGTGTCACCCCGGAATTTGTCACTGGAGCGACTCTGCCTACTTCCTACTTTTGAAGCTCTAGTGAACAGTGCCAGGCTTTTTAACGATCTCAAGTCGAATTATCTTAACTCTGTGGATCAGAGGTTGGGTCTTAAAAATCTCCCCTATAATGAGTCGGTAATTTGAAAAGAGAACAGACTAGCCCTAATAACAGCCAACCTACGTATACCCCCTTCCTGTCAATTGTTTGATTTAAGCGGCCTACTTTACTTGTGAAGCTCACACTTAATCCTAATCCGCCTTATTTTTCTGTCATTCAGGCTGATTTACAACACCGCCACAGAAATTTAAAGATTCTGGGACTTATATGAACTCCTTGTACTCTCCTCATTTTGTAAATGGTTTCCCAAAGCGATTTATTCCGTAATTTTGTAGCAGTGGCCAATGAATAAATTATTATCAACCGCATTTTTTCCTTTCTATCTAAAACAAATAATTTAAATGAGTGGTACTTTGTAGCTCCTCGAGACTTTTATGAAGACGAAAAAAGATATAATACCGGAGCAGAATATGCATTACCGGCGTACAGAAGGGCTGGGCGGCTACCGGCATGGCCCGGAGGAAAGTAACAAACGCGGAGCCGTAAGTGCCCGCGAAACCGAAACAAAGAGTTAAGGGAATAGTCATGGCATTGCTGTTTTACAGGGGATTTACATGTAAATAGGGGGACTTCCAGCTTAATAGAGGTACATAATGGTCTTCAAATCGGTTGTATGGCGAGTAGAGCAGACCAATTCGTGGCTTGTGCCATTAATGATGATTCAGGCAACAGCGCCGTTGATAAGGTGATAATGAACTTTTTGCCAATCCTTGCAGATGGGGCGAAGAAGATGAGGACAAAAAGTAGCAATGAGGGTCGGCATTTACTTCTCATTGGATTTTGCGTGCGGTACTGAGTCGCCATGGTAAGCTTGAAGTATCCAGAATAAAAATCTCTACCAGGATCAAGACAATGGTTTTATTGTTAACTTGAGTACACGTTTTTAAGGAGAATTGGTCATCCCAGCTCAGATGCTTTTTGTCCTCAAAGTGCTGCAGAATTTGTACTACTAAATTGATTGGTTTAACTGGTGTCTGAAGGCTGAGGAATGGAATTACCCTTAATCCGGGAACATCCTAAATCCATTTATTTAAATCATACGTAACAAGCCTATTTGCTGAACGGTTCGACTCACCGTGTTCTCATGAGGCAATAAAAAACACATGTCGCATATTTGTGACGCACGTGATGGTGATGACCAATGTATTCTCATAAGAACTTAAGTAAGCTGCTGCATTTAAACTGTTATCCTCCTCAAATTTTTACTTTTTTTGTTGCAATACATTTACTATTCTTTCAGCCGCGTAATACTAAATAGAAACTCCAAATGCTTGGGGCATTTGGATCTCTTGCTATCCTAGCTTTAATACAAATCCAAATACAAAGGTATGCTAATTGACATTTACGGTTTGCCTAACAAGTGTACAAAGTGTGAACAGATTTAAACCAGGTGCTCAGAATTTGTTCGGCAGTCAAGCTGGATTGTACCCAAGGTGGCTAGTGGTTTGAACATTGATATGAATTTCGGTGACTGAATCACCCTCCAGCTTAAATGATGCGCGTCTTTTTCCACCCTAAAAAGCCAAGTAAAAACAGTCACCTAGTAAAATATGCACTATGTGGCTAAAATGGGTGGGTGGCATGTCGAGTCACCTGCACTTGTGAACACGGGCCCACCAAGAATTGACAACTTACTATTTTATTGTTCTGACCAAAGCATGACTCACATAAGAACCAAATTATTACATGATTCCTGAGTATTTGGTAAATAAAGGCCTTCAAAATTTACTCCTTAGAAGTAAAGAATTAACATTTACCTAAACGATAGTGAATACAGATCCTAAGCAAATGCCGTTTGTTAACCGAACTAAATTTTATTTTGGAATTTGTTCGCAAACCCGATGTGACAAACGAGGTGGGCTTATCAACCACGGAATAAGTGACCTTGAGGGCCTGAAAGTGCGTACCGACACCGTGTGGGGGCGTAAAGTAACTTTAGCCGTAAATTGAGCTATTTGCACATGCAGACACATCCTTGCTAACTTCTGTCACGATGATATAGAATTTGAAATAAACCATGGGCATTAATAGCATTAAATTCTCTTTTTTGCTATCAAGTCCAGAGATTTCCTGCCGATGTGTTGACATTTGTTCAAATAAAGTGTGGACAAATTTAGTAAATCTTATCTTTTTTTCCAAAAAAAAATTTCAAGCACTTTGCTGAGGTCGCAGGATGTTCTATGAAAAGATTACATTGGATCACTGGTGAAATAAGGCCTTGAACATCGCTTCTTTGAATTAGTATCAATGACGTTTAGGTGGGCGAATGCTTAAAATAAGCTGATTCGTAGTAAACACTCATCACCATTTCATGGATCAACTGGATGCTTAACAAGTGATATACTTAAAATTCACAGACTTTTTCCATCGGCTAAAAACTCTCACCAATTTTGCGAAGTGTTACAGTGGCATGAATAAAATTTGCACCTCATGACTCAAGTTATTTGATTTGTAGCACATGTTGACCTGCGGTCAGGCCTACTTCAGTCCCGGCAGCGCCTTGGCTAGCATGAGACAAGAACATTATTAATATTCAAAACAAATTTGTTAGCTTGTTCTTTGTATTTCAAAGATTGTTGTTAATCGGAATTTATACTACTCTTAGCTATGTACCACGAAGGCTTGTCTTCTGACCCCTGACTCCGTCTCCTTAGAGTTCAGTGATTTGAGGTTTGAGGCTGCACTCAGGGGTTACCTAGTCATTACACAAGGTATTAACAGGTTTATGTTAGGATAAGAACCTCAAACACCCCCACTGATATTTAAGTAAGTAGCTATACAAATTGGTTTGAACAAAAACGAATTTCGTAGAAGGTCCCAACTTTGGCGCAATTTGTATGCACGCTTTGTGCATTTATATGTCTGAAATGCCTATATAATTTAATCAGTCATTTAGCAGACACTCTTGGCACGCTCAGAGAGCGTGTTTGTGAAAGTAAAATAAAATTATGTATCTAAAGCATTGTATCGTCATTTGCTTATGACAACACACCATTATGCATACCTCAGTTACGAGAAGTCGGAGATGAATTTAGACTATCGCTACAGGTAACTCCCGATGATTTCTTAGTACATTTCACTGATATCGCTGTTGATTATGTATAGCATAAGTTGATAACGCATTGTGATTAACGAGTCGTTTTCCCACACTGTGAGTTTCTTTATCACTGAATTGTTAGTAAAGTAAGATCTTCGGAACCTGTCCAAATCCTCCACCGAGCAGGCCGATGTTCAAACTGACTTACAGCGATTATAAACTAGCCTTCCAACTGCGGAATCCTTTATTTATAAATTAGTAGTCATTTTAATGGCAAAGATTAGACTATCCTTTAAACCACATGCGCATATTTTGCTTAGAAATCCAAAAGGTGTAGTCGAATACCCTATTACAACCTAGTCATGAATACGTAAAACCACAATTAAAATTGAACGACACCAACCCATACCTGTGGTCGCATGCTTGACAACGCTAGAATCAGTTCGCTTAAATACACAGTCTCATGAAGGATGTGATGACTTCATAAAGTTTGAAATTAAATACCGCATAATTAGAGCGCTGACTGGTATTTTGTATTTGCATATCCTAAAGCCAAAATTCATATTGTTAACACGCAATCGTGTCAACTTTGCTTCTTTCCAAAGAAACGGGAGGGTGGGCGGGTGGATGGGTGGTAGGTGAAGCATAGAGAAGAGGCGAGGTGAGGTAGCCATGAGGTGATGGTATTTCCGAGATAATCACACCGAAGGCCCACTTTGCGCAGACTATAACACGCCATCTGATGACAATCTAGTTGGAGGGAGGAAGGCAGGGGGAAGGGGAATGGGTAGAAGTCGAGAGAGGAAATATAAGCATCCGCTTAGGGGGGAAAAATAGCTCCCTGCTCGAATGCGGTTTTTCTCCTCCCCCTCCTCACGTGCCTCTTCGTGCTTATCTGGCTGCCATCTGTGCTTGTTGTACCAAGGCACACCAGCGAGCCAATGGGTTAACCAATCTGTGATCACATCAACAGTTGGTGGAACCTTTTCTAGAGGTTGCTGTGACAAATACCAGCATTATTTCAGTCTAATTTACAAAAGGTGGTTGATATACCAACTTTCATTCATATTTACAAATGTGACTTCAAAATAAATACAAAATTTGACATTTTTAATGAATACCACCGATAATGAAAAATATAATGACTAGGTTGATGTGAAAAGGTGAGTATTTAGGTTTTCACAAATTCATTTTAATTCATCAGTAAATCCATTAAAAGGCATTTGATGAGATTGTCAAAAATACAACCGCAAAATCTCCCAAAAGACTACAGAGATGGTAAATAGAAGTATTTTTGCAAAAATGCACTCTTTTTTTGTAGAATACCAACCGAAGCAGTCCGTAGGAAGCTTGATTATTTGTCTAAATCTTCATCTTGGTTTTGCGGACGCATAAGGATCTGCTTTTGTACTTTAGCTCGGTGGCGTGACCTTCGGTCCTTGCCAGTAGCCCCTGGCTCATCTGTATGTCAGCAATACATATTTCGGTCTAGTGTTATGATTACTTACCACTTTAGAAAAGTTTTGTGGCGCCATAAATGCCTTGAAAGGTGCTAAGTTGACTTCTTGTAAATCTAGCAATATTTAAAAAAGAAACGTGACACGTAATCTCTAAGGCTAGCTATTTAGCTTGCCTCTCGGAAAATAGGTACTTCATTTTGTCACAATCTGATCATCATAAAGCTTATACACATGCTCGTGCAAAAAACCAGGTGACCACATTACAGAAGGTTGAGAGCTCAAAGAGATTGGAAACCTGCGAGCACTTAAATCAAATTACTGGCGTATCTGCCCCATACGAAAAGCAAAATGGCTAAAGCCTAAAGCGTTTGGTACTTAAGAGCCGTAATTTTGCAGATAAATATGCCTAATTCTATCGAAATTGACGACGTTTGATCTCGAGATGGCTAAAGTCCTTTTTTGCTACACTTGGTAAATGAAAAAATAAGACGTGAATTGCAAGTAGATATTTGTATTTCAGTCGAATTCGTTCCGAATTTAACTGAAGAGTTAGGCTGGCCGTCACGGGTAGTTCTAAAGCCTTTAAAATGATATAACTGGAGTGACCTGACATTTCGCCTAACTGTGAGCTCAACCACGCCGGCACGTTATATCTCCCGGGTTGTGCTTTCACCCTGAGGCATGGCCTTTAGACATGCTTATGGACTGCCATGTCTTCTGTGCGTTAGCGATTCATAAGCTTACACTCGGCTAAGGTCGACTTTAATTTCAAAAAACACTTGGAGTGCTAATTCAAAGTCCCGAGGAGACTTTAACCAGGTCCTGGATCATAATAAAGGCAACTGGCCCAGTTTAGAGTCCTCATAGCCTCTTTAGACAGCCATTCACAACAGTAGAATAAACATGGGCCTGTGTAATTTATTTGATGTATACAATAAAATCCCAAGATTGTAGCCTATAGTGAACTGCAAAACAAATTGCCAAAGAATTGCACAACTGCTATATCTTAGCCTGTCTATATTAATAAATAAGCGTCAAAGTATCTTATATAAAAATTAACCACGTAAACACAATTTATCCAACAATGTCCTAATGACTCATAGGGCTACCAAAAAAATACACGACCCTTTAAATTTACGAACTAGTTGGTGGTGTATGATGTTGATGATTCGGAAGAGTCTATCGCTATTTGGCCCGCGGTGTCCATCGCTGTAGAGCATTGCGTCTCAACTGGTTAGTGGTTTGGCCTCTTGCCCGCTTGCTTTATAATCAAACTACCTTTTATGTGGTATTAACGTTACGGATGGTAGAGCGAATTGTCAGTGGCGCTTTATGCTTCTCTATATCAGAATTCCCATGTCTATATGAGGAATTGTTGTCTAATGCTATTATCTATGGTCCGGTGAAGCCGCATTTATGATTTTGTGCCACTTACATTATACCATGTTTGTACTCATACGAGTCCTGGGTGCACATGCCTCCTCTCAAACTGATGAAGCATGATTAATCCACGTCTTATTTGCAATCACAAACGTATGACTGGTCATGCTCCAGAAACCACTTTTGTAAACTCTCTGGATTCATCAACGTCAATTTACTTCCTACCTTATTTGAGGGGAGCTTGGTGTCGTTTTCCGTTATTTCATTTATTAAGCATTTTATTCAAGAATCCAAATGGGCCAACTTCTGTCGGGTGTTCCAGTCGATAAGTGGGCCTTGTTTCTCCCCCAACGCTATCAGTCCCAACTAGCCGCTCTCCTACCTTCTTCCTGGCGCGCTGATACTAGTATTAACCCAGGTTTGGTTTTTTACATCTTCAAACTTTACTAGAGGAGTCAGAAGGGCGACACTTCGACCTAGTCGATCTCCCACTTGAGCTTGCATTGTCCATTTTATCTCATCTGAATCCCACGGATCTTTACTTAGCCTCTGGAGTTTGGTGGAACCTTGCTTCGAATGAGTCACTCTGGCGGGGGTGAGAGAATTTCTCCCTTATTATCTTTGCCGTCTATATATAGTTATTAGGATATACCTACCTTATTGCTGCCTAACTTCTAATCATTCCTCAAGATATTATTTCAGTGGAGCTACTCACATCGTAATTTTGCAGGCTGTGTCGAGCCTACTGGCCCTTCTGTTCGGTCTATGAGACGTGGCGGGAAAGGCCGCACTTCTCCTTTCGAATCCTCTTCCTCCGTCTCGACGAAGCTCGACTAACCTTCAACAGCGACGCCTTCGAGGGAATTCGTTATCTTCAGGAGAACGAAATCCTCAAAGACGATATTCATCACGTGGCTTTGTACCTCCACGTCACTCCTGGACTGGATCCAGTGCAGAAGAGACGATATCTTGAGGCTAGGTAAGCATGTGACTAGAATCGAACTTTTTTAGTTGATACCCATGTTTGGTAGCGCAAGCACTCACGTGCGGCTTTGCTACCAGATGTAACTTGCATCATTTCTTTAAATTCACATACTCTACCCCTTGTGAAAATGGCTACAATAGTATGAGGCCAAACTGGACTGCGAAGCACTACAGAGTCAAAACTGGTGCTGAAATGTTGAGTCAGTGTTTGATTGCTCTGCTTTGTATTTGTGTAAGTTCGCACTAGAAGTATGGAATAAAGTAGGTGATTCCGGTGGGTTTTTTATTTCATTTTGGGCATACTCGTTATGCCTCAGTATGCTGCTTAGTTAGTGTGACATGTGTAATTTTTCGCTCATTGGCATGATCTAATAAGTTAACCGATTGCTGTAACTGGTCTCGACAACGAATGCTTCAGTTAGGTAACTCATGTGACACGCAAAGTAGCATGAATTCGCTCTTAGATAGAATTAGGCTGGTGCAATCCACTACAACGCCAGTGAGACTCTACGGTTACGATCTATGTATCGCAACGTCTGTAAGTAGACATTCAAAATACGCTTCGCTTAAAACAGCAGTACGGCTTTGCAGAGATGACAAAACCATTATATGGTCAAACACTGTGACGTACTATCAAGAATTTCCAGTACGAAATAAGGCAAAGGATATGTTACGCGATTGTAGTGGGGTTGATAGGACTAGAAGACTATGAGTAAGCTTGATGAAACAACTGACTGTTTCTCAGCCATTTTTCAACATCACTGCATGGTAACATAGAATCCTAGTGAACAAATTAAACGTTTCTAAGATGATGCTATCAAAGGAGTAACCAAGGCTGTATGTGACATCTTTTGCCCTAAACTTGCGAAAACCAATGAGTGAAAGCCGGAGCGATAGTCATCTCGTCATTCACTTCAACTGCCTTCTTTGTACTTCTACGGGTGTGGGTGCCTTCAGTCCGGAGGTGTTGGATGAAGTGATTCGCCTGAAAGACTTCCGCAGCGCCTTCTTACCGGATGCTCTACGGAGTCTCTTTACCGAGCTGCCCAGTCCGGAGAACGACACGCACAACTTCATTCCCCGATTGCTCGAACGCTTCTCGGAGCATTTTGTCCGCTGCAATCCGCACATTGGTCTTCGCCCAGGTTTGGCTACCTTTCTTTGTCTGCCTTACCCCATATGTTTGCTGGTTGTCAGTGTTTGTAATGCCCCATTGCAGAATTGAGGCAGCGTCCCCTAAAAAAAGCTTTCATATATGTGATTGGGATAGTTAGTTACATTTCTGAATTGACCCCTAATTGTAGTAATCAGTTTTACGAGGTCCCAATTCGTGTATTGAAATCCGCTGAAACGGCCCAATCCTGATACCCTTTTGCTCTACTGGATTCCCAGCACGGATAGGAGATGATGAAGTCACCAATTTCGATCTTTTTTACGGTTTTGCGTAGTTTACACCATAAATCGTGTAATCGACCCCATAGTGATAAGTGGGAATACTGGGTATTATTTCAGGTACAATCTATTTGTGCTCCTATGATCGTTAGTCCCCAATTCCCGGTTGTCTCGGTTAGCATTGTACACCAACCTCGCTCTCTCCGGTCGGACTCCCTCCTGCTTTTTTTTATCAAGCAACCATTGGCAACATTACAACAGTTGGTTTTAACATCTTGCCTATAAAGGCACGGTGACATGCTTACGTTTTCTCTCCCCTTGGGTCAGTCCGCATCTTGTGGTTTTTAAATCACGTGAATTAGTACAGTAAACCTTTAACTGGTTTTGTCAACAAAGAGGAGTTGACTACCTCTTCTTGAACGCATCCACACACGTGCCTGCATGAGTCTTAATCTCGTGTCGGTAGCTGCATCTTCGGCAGCAGCTTAACGAAGAATAAATTGTTTTGTTTTGACTGGCGGCAAATGTGTGAAGACACCTTGTTTTGCAGGCTTCACGTTGATGTGCATGCTCGTGTTCGGCAGACTTTCGCTCTATCTGGAGAAGACATTTAACTAACTTTTTTCACCTACAATTGCTTGTATTTTTTACTAAATGTTGCCGTGTTGCCAGGGCCCGCTAAAAAGTGCTCCTCCATCCCACGTGGTCTTCTGTAATCCGCTATAGAAGGAAAAAACGCCCGGAGACATTCAAAAAACCCACCTATAATCTCTACCAGTTTCATTTTAGTTGGCTGCCTAAAATTCACCTAGAAAAGCTCCAAAAGCCTTACGGAGCCGTATTTAGTTCGACAGGGGGCTCTATTAAATATTGGTAAGTGGCACGTAGGATTTTGGTCCTTATTTTGGTTAAAAGGTCACAGACGGGGGATATGAGTTACCTCCGGAAGCGTGGAAGACATGATCGGCCTAGCGTAGATCGAGGTGGGTTCGTACAATGTTTGGTTAAAATGTCCGCCCAGTGCAGATTTATTAAAGCATCTAGCCTTACTCCGCTGATTGTCACCCTTTTTAGATGTAGTCTACGTGCTCTGTTTCTCGTTGCTCATGCTGTCGAAGGACTTTGCGAGCCCGCAGATAAAGAATAAGATGTCCAAGCGCGAGTTTATCCGCAACACGCGACGAGCAGTGCCGGCGGCAGATGTTGAGTTGTTGGGTCACTTTTACGACAACGTCTACGTGGAGGGCGACATCGCCACCTGGGTGACGGTGAAAAGTAGTGGTGTGGCTCCCTCCGCCTCGCCTCCAACGGCGCAACGAGTGACCGAGGTGCGCGCCGCTCCCCGCCCCTACCGCATCATTGCGCTCTCTTAGTGAAAGCGCGCGCCAAATTATTCACGCTACTGAAACGCATCATCAGTCTTTCGCTCACCCATCTTGCGGCCAAACACGCTCATTTACACGTGATCCCCGTCGTCCGCGCCTAGTGATTTTGCATTCCCTTTTATTTTACATGTACACATTGTCTCGCTTACTGTATGTGTGGAGATGAGAATGGACTCATGTGGTAGAAGTTACTCAGATTGTTTCCATCGTGTGTTGTCGTTCACCAACGTTTTCTTCTATGAGGTCTTCAGGGGAATATTATTGATCACTCAGGTTGAATATTTGAGGAGCAAAGTAAAATGGCTTCTTAATTCCCATTTCCTGTCTATTACAGGATGGACAATGATGACTGGTCGGAATCGAGGGTGAATATAATTATGTATTTCCACGAACTTACAAAGTTGACGAGCCGTGATAGGGCGTACTGTATCGAAGAGGTGGGTGCCACTTACCGTAACTAATGTGCGGTTGTAGACAACACCAGTTTTGCTGATAAAGCTTGTGACAGGATGGAAAACAAGTACTTTGGGAGACGCGACTGGTGTATGGTTCCACGTATTCTCTTGCGAGGAATGCCTGCAATCCCAGAAATTAGCTCCTGTTCGAGTGTCTAGAAGTTCCAACTAGTGTTGATCTTAACCTCCTAAAGTCATGCTCCCGCTCAGTCCTCGACTGGCTCATATCTGGCAGAGATGTATTCTAAGTGTAATGGCAACCACTCGAGGGTCAAGGTCAACCAGTTGCTACAACTACGTGCATCTGAGATCACTAGCATGCAGGTTCACACTGAGTCTGCTCCGTAGCCAGCGGGTAAAGTACACGCTGAACATGTCCCTTTGCGTACTTATTACTAACAACTGCGGTGGCGTCTTAGTCTACAAAAATTAGCGACCCTATTTATAACAGACAACTACTACTTCTGGGCACGGAGACGATGGGCCTAGCTCCTTTAATTGCAAGGAACGGTGGACGCAGGCAAATAGATGTTTAAGCGAGGCGGACGGAGCTCCCATCAATTAGGCGCTTTCCCTTAATGGAAGCAGGATCCAAACGTGCTTTGAGAGGTGACCCGAATAATGAGTTACCCTTTCACTGGTTGGCATTGATCTCTGTTGTTAAGGTAATCCTAAGAATCACAGCGACGCGAGCTAAGTCCGTTTCACTGACCTTTGGAGGTATGCCAAAAATAACGGAATCTAAAGAGTCAAAACTGGTGAACTTTTACACGCATGTGTTTAAATCAAAGCTCTGCTTTGCTGTAAAAGTGTATGAACACATGGAGTCTGTAGGAATTTACAGCACAGTGCATCATAACTGCATAGAGTGCCGAAAGCCACGGGACGAAGTTAGCGTCAACAGATAACACCGCGACCACACCCAGTCGAATCTTCGTCCGTAATCTCAGCGGGGCAGTCGCGCCCTCGCGATGGTTCAGGTAGTGTGTGTTCAAGTGGATAAAGCGGTTAAGTTATTATGCGTGTGGCCAGAAGCAACTTAACTACGCTAAAAACACGAGCAAATGAATTTAAGAATTGCATACTGGCCACAGATAAAGTACAGCATCACAAAAGCCACAGTGACTCAAACTCCGATCATTTTGCCGACCTAAAAAGGCATAAAAATAATCGAGGGAAGTTACACTATCGGGGTACAACAAGTAAAAAAAGCCAAAAACACGGCAAGCAGCAATAATTTATTTCCAACCCAAAGTACCTACAAGTCATGATAAATGAAGAGTGATGAATAACATTGATCATGCGTGGCTTACTGCACACACGCACACATAATCTAGAGCAAATAGAGGACAATGCAACAGAGCAAAAGAAAGGCAGAGTGCATGTTAGCGGGATGATCGCACGGGAGGGTCCGAGAGGATGTCTACGCGACTGAGCAGTTGATTGCAATGTTTCCCGAGTTGCCGAGGGGTAGTGAGTCCCCAATGATGACAGAGAGCGCGCGGACCATGTAGGCCATGGTGCCGAATCGACCAGCCGGTGGGGTGTCGTAGAAGAAATGGCAGATGTGGTGCGAACCGCGACACTTCTGCTGCGGTGGCACCGGGATCGGCGGGACCTGGCCACCGCCCACTACACCCATCTTGCGTGTAACCCCCGAGGGATTGGACTCCGTTGGCGTGGTTGAGAGTTCACTGTTCTCGCCCTTTGTGCCACCCGACGCCGACCTGGAGGCGCGTACCAGGTGGTTGGCGCAGCACACCGTCGCGTTGGCCCCGTGGGCAGCCTGTGATTAAAAACAAGAGTGCATTAGTGACAACTACCGGTCGCGGCTTCTCACAATGACTCGATTAGCTAGGAAGCAGTAAAAACGATCAAAAAGGGCAGCTAATGGAACATACTGTGAATTAAGCACCAGTAACAGCATGGATGTTAGAACTCGTACCACTGCCCTAGCACAGAAATCTCCTATAGCATTGGGATTTAGCAGATTCTAAGCTTAAACGGAATCCACTTGTTTGACAACTTGATAGACCGTGAATACCAATTCATGAGAAAAGCCGGTATTTCCGAATTTGTGACAATCCTCCTGTAACGATCTCCAGAAGCACTACAACTTTTGAAGTAAACTTGGTTTGATTCGTTCGCACACTAACACGAAGTAGAGGTGATCAACCGCCCTATTTAAAACAGGACGCAAAGAGCAGTATCGAGACCGAACCTGATCCTCCAGAAAGATGCGATTGGCCTTAGCCACAAGATCGTCAAGGGAGACGATACAATTGAGTTGAATCCGCGCATCCTCGTCGTGGGTAACCAAGGCACCAAGAACCGTGGTAGCCTCCACCAATAACTGGCGATACTCCGGCGTCGGTACAGTATTGATGAAGGACTCCACCACTAGCGCAAATTTCAGTTCTTCCTTGGTCATCTACATCGGTAGTTAAATCAGCATGATGTTCAGATATGAGGTCTTCTGACCTTCATTGGCCTTACTCTGCGGTAACATGCAGGGAAGATTTACCTCTTTAGTGAGCGAAGTGGTTAGCGTATTTTCACCAATACGGAGTCCTTGAAGGCGTTCGAGGATGGTGTAGGTGCACTGGAAGAACTGCGGTGGAACACGGTTAAGTGCTCCATCGATTTTGCGTCGCCGTGACCACAAATCGCGCACTTCACCCGGCGGCTCGACAGACGTGACTGCCAGAGAGCCGGCTCGCGCCCGTGTCCCGCCCGCGCTGCGTAGAGTACTCGTGGGGCTCTGCGGAATTGACATGGTTGGCGATGTCAGGTACGAGAGATCGTAGGGTGAGTCCACCTTTAATAACTGTAGGAAGTGCAGAGAGGGAAGGAAGGTTGCATTAACAGCCTCGGTCTCGATGACCTGCACATGAGCTCTGCGAGCAAGCCCTCATGCATACTCTAAACGCTTGCTTCCACTGCATCATAAATGGTCTCGAGCTTTCAGAAATTAACGATAAACAAATGGATTCAGAAGGTAATCACTCAAAAAACTTAAAACTTTATTTACGTGAGTAATTTGTCCCACTGTATTTTAACTTCTTCCCAAATCACTCATAATATAGCAAGGGGCAAGTCAACTCCCACTAGAAAGTACAACGATTGTAGAGTACTCCTGTGGCGTCGATTCTGCAAACAGGCAGAGCAAGCAATAGCTGAACCAAGGGCAAAAAAAGGCACACTTACAGCCGAAGACTTGCGGCGTGAGGAGGCTGAAAGGGGAAGAAGAAGGGTTGGTCTGCACCTTTGAGAAAAAAGGAGGACATGTATCCAGAGGGGGGAGAAACAACAGGCAAGCACTAGGACCAATTCTCGGGGGAGGAAAGGAAAGCAATAAAAATAGTCTACCACAACAAAATGCAAGCACAACAACGGCATCAGCAACAGCAGCAGCGGCACAAAAGGCCAAATAAATGCTCCTCCAAGACGATGCGCTGCCGGCAGGAGAATTGGTAACTCTGGGTCAGCTGGAGTTTTTTCATTCAAAAATAGAGTTTGGTAAATGAGTTATGCCAGTACTAACGTCAAACACATGCTGCATCCATGAGAGGACGCAGGAAATGATTCATTAATTAGAAAATCTAGTATTAAAACCATTGGGGGGGGGGGGTGCAACCCTTCCCCACACAAGGCATCGGGAGAGGGATGAAGGGGGGAGGAAAGACTACCAGGGGAAATAACTTACCTGAGGCTAGAGTTATTTGGTTTCCTGTAAAAAGTTTGGGGAAATTTATATTTGTTGATGTTGAAAACAGCGCCTGAATGAAAACTCCAAACGAGATGATGGCAATGGCATTCCCGACAATTACTTATATTCCAAGCTGAGGAGTTTATCAGCGAGTTGTCCAATCTAGCGATGTGGACACATCAACAATAATAGTAAGCAGCTAAAAGCGTCCACAACACAATGTTCCTAATGAAAGATGAAATGAAGAGTACGGAGTTCGATCACCGTATTAAGATACTTTTATGTAATAAATGACAAATGACAACGATCTGGGTGCGCAAACAGTGTCCAATGCTTGCTTAAATCATTCACTCAATCATCCCGAGGCGGAAGAGCACAGGGAGAGATGGACACAATAGGGTGAGGGACGCAGGGCAATCCGATGTGGAGAGGGGAGATAAACTTACCCCAGAATTCGTCTATGGAAGTAATGGTAATAGAGTGACTGAATGCATTCCATCTGGCACGACTGCTAGGAAATACAGCCAAACTACTGACTTAAAAGCGCACCCAGAAAAAGACTAGTGTAATCACCATCTCAGATAATGAAAGGGGAGAATACAAGCTCACCCAAATGGTTTATTAGTCGGAAATTTTGAAAGCTTACTATCTTCAAAAGTGCCTACTTTCATTTCCAAAAACCATGTAATTGAACAGCGTATTATCATCGGTACTAAAGTGGCGATGAAATAGCTCGATGGCCTACGCATAAGCAATTACTCGGTTGGTTATTTCTTCTGCTCAAAAAAAGCAAGTAAAATCGTTTTATGAATGGACTAATGCAACCAGACAAACTTAAATCCTCTCCCAGAAAAAGGAGAGCATTTCGACCACCAGTAGTTGAGATGCAATGTAACATCACATCGACCTAACAATTGGCACAAGCCCTTCTCTTATCGGCGTAGCATTCCCGGAGTCCAGAAGTGTCATGAACACAGGTGTCTTATGGGTACACACACACGCACACACACACACAAGAAAGCCTCAGGATATCTTGGTCATCAGCATTTAAGTTATGGTATTGCATCGAGGTTTTTTAATTATGGGGACGGCTACCCCATCCATCGCATTACGGGGATATCTTATGAACACAAATAGGTCTAAGTTCTACACACACACGCATACACACACACAGGGTTGCTCCGACCACCGACACTTGACCGGTGATAAGTCCGACTCGGTTATTGACAAAGGTTTTGTTCCTGTCACTACATCTTCCCGCAGTTGGAAACAGGCACGCGAACTGGGCGGTAGCACGGCCGTAAAAAGTGCTGGAGACAAACGGAGGGGGGATTTGTGGCAGTGGCATGAATTCGACTCAGATATGGACAATAGTTGGCAATTCACATTTGTACATAAGTTGATGGCCTTTTAAGAGCTTTCCATCTAACAAATTGGGTATCACTTTGATAGCTTTTGGCATCCCTATCTGAATCGGACGTTTTTTCAGGATAAAACGTGCCCAAGAATGAAAGTGTTACAAATAGAAACGCTCTTGAACAGTTATATGAGATTGATATTTATGCCGGCGGTATTGGAGCTGTGATTTGGCGTAACAAGGGGTATCAATGACTGAAAAAGCTTTATCAACGGAACAAGCACAGAACTTAAACAAATAGAGAGACCCGAATTACACACATCTAAGGAAGTTATTTGGATCACTACAGTCTGACTTCTGCACATAAAACAGACCTACACATCCCGAACTTGCGCAAACCAGGTGGAAATCGGCTTCCGTTCACCCAAAAAGTTATCTATGTCATTGGACAACATCATACTCCTCAGCTGAAGACCACCCTGATTAAAACGTGGCAATGAAAGGGTGATGGTGCTTGAAATGAGAAAAGCAGGACAAATTCACTTGCCTATCTTGACGGCTCTAATCTCGTTACCAGAAAGGAGGTTTGCGAGCAGACAGTTGGTCTCGTAGGGACTCATGTAGAAAAGAGCGAGGAGAGCGTCCTCCACAGAGCTCTCCATGGAGCGGGCCAGTTCCGTGCCCATGAGTTTGATAATGAGACCGGTGCGTAGGCACAGTACGTTGGCCAGCAGCTTGGGGTGCGAGCGCGCGAACATGGAGAGGTGAAGGAGAAGTTCCTACGTAAATGCGTCATGAGGTAATTGGCAGTGCTCGATTGATACAGAGGTGTGGTGGTGAAGTGCTGCTAAATTCAGGTAAGCTGTCTCTGCAAGGAGACATGAGACTAGTAATCCTATCCATCGGTGGCGATTAGTGTAAAGCGTGGCTTTCGAGAAGCTTACCTTATGTAATTGAAACCCATATCTACCCAAATGGGACTCAACACAACCTAACTATTTTGTGACAACCATCTCATCAATACCACTCATAGGGAATATTGTATTTCAGTGCCATGAAGAAATGACTATGAAACAATATTGTCGCTATTTTTGGCTAAAAGATTCCTAATTTTTATCGTAAATTAAGACACCCCTACACCAACGCTTCTACCTAACCTTCGGTACACAGCGTGTTTGCTTACCTGCGTAAGCATCGCCATAAGATTATCCTCCCCACAGGCTTCCTGAATGAGTTGAGCTATTTGAGCCGGAGGCAGTGGAGAGCTGATAACCTTCTCCCTGGGTTTCGGTGGCAACCCCACCGTGATTTGTTTTTGTAAAATCAAAATACTCGACACTGCCGTGGCCAACTGGTCTGCAATCTTCTCCAACAATCCGCCAATGTAGCGGAGGAGGAACCAATCCTGAAGCTGGCAAGCCTTCTGATATACCTCCTTGAGAAGACTACGGACAGTTGCGGGCGTTTCGCTGTCCATACCCGTATCCCAGTCCAAGCCCTTCATCTGTTTCAGTCGGCCCAGAATCTCGGCCTGTTTGGCCAAATTCCCGGTTTGTTGGAGATACTCCACCATCTGCTCAGCGTTGAGATTGGCTAACCACTCGCAACTGACGTCGGCGCCTGTGCTGCCCGCCGAACCTCCACTCTGTGAGCTGCGACCGCTGGAGGTCTTGCGTGACTGACTGGTCCGTGTGGAAAAGCGAAGGTTTGTGGGGCGCTGAAGACCTCCGCCATCGCCGTCGCCTGCAGCATTGTCCTTCGGACACATTATGATGCGTCGGAAGGCTGTCTCGTAGCTGGAGTCCGAAAAGTTAGGCAATTCGCCCACACGCAGACGTTGCAAGGTCATCTCTTCTACAGGGTAGAAATGATACGCATTTCAGACAGCATGTTAAATTCCAACGTCTAGGCTAGTCTTCATTATGGTGGTAAGGGCCAAGGGACCGAAACATCTCATTTTACATAGCAAAGCAAGCAATGTGTCAAATACACCGTTGACTAAACCTCTGTCTGGTTTACTCAGCCCCTCGTGGAAGTTGTTACATAAAAGGGGCAAGCAAGACTGAAATTCTCTGATGGTGGGATCGAGAAGCGATGTGTACACAGTTGCAACATTCATCTCAATAATTATTCAAGTTACCCGAAAAATTTCCAGCAAATTTGCGTTTAGATAAAAGTGACGTAATGAAATGAAAGAGACACTGCTTACCATCAGTTTGCTTCCGTTCCGTTAAGGTGGGATCGTGATCGTGCAAACCAGTCAGGTATCCCTTCTCATCAAAACTAATTTCTTCTACAAAAGCAAAGACCAAAAAACACATTTCAGGAATCCCTTCGCGTAACGCAGACACGGTTAAAATTCAGGAACCCGGAGAGGATTAATTCAAACCCAATAGAGATATAAATTAGAAGATCGGTCAATCCTTTTTACCCAAACGGAATTCTTTTGGGAAAAATAAGCATTCAAACATTCATTGATCTCTGGGTCCAAGCTAGTTCATAACGCATTCCGAATCCTTTTAAGCGATACAGTCAAGGCAAAAACTCGGAAAAATTGGGGAGGAAGTAAAGATTGGACTCACTTGAGCTTTATAATGGGTTCACCCAATTTGCGGCTGTAAGTACCCTAATCAGCATGGAATCACAAGGCATTACGCTAGCCTAGAGTTCGTTAAGAGACATTTAATTTTTATGAGGAGGGCATCTTACTCATGGTTAGGTACTCTAAGGAGTAAAGATAATAGCCCTGAAGTGGAGTGCCCGTTAAGAAACTGCTTGAGCTACTAATGGATAGTAATTACGATAAATTTCACAAGCCCTTTGTCAAAAGAGGATGGAATAGAATATAATCACACCTACCATACGGGTTTCAAATTTGGATATTATGGTAAAACTGTGCGTTTGTTTGTATTTTAATAGGTAACTCAAGGTAACTACGACCGGTAGTGAGGATGCGTTAAGAATCAAGGAACGGGCACTGCAATGAACCCTCCATCACATACGTAACCTAGTGCAGTGGTCCTAAAACCGTGACCCCTTCAGGAATAAACGACTAGGAGTTGCAACGATCTAACCTTCTGTGCTAAAATACGATAATCCAAAGTCTTGGGGTTAACAATAAATATAGGGCTAACATTGAATACCGCGAAACTCAAGACAAAGCAATAATGCGAAACAAGCATAACATAAAGACGCGCCCAATCAGCATGCAAAACGACGATATGTGCAAGCAGAGAGACACGAACTGGGGCCAAGAGCATCCACAGACGTGGAGCGACTGCGTAGGAAACGAGGTCGACTGCGCCTGTGGTTGCAGCAGGGGGGTGGGCCGGAGGGTTGGGGAGTGCGATTCGGAGTGGTGCTGCAACTGTAGCTACGGCTGCTACAGAGGCTGGAAGACTGCGATAGAGGAACAGGGTGAGAAATGACATCGAAGAATTGCAACCTCAACGGCAACTTCATGCGTCGTCACTCACCTCGCCACGACAATACACGCTGAATGGTGAGGGGTAACGATGGTGGTGGTGGACTTCACGGTTTCCCACTTCCCCCGCCTCTTCGTCCTCACATTTAGAGCCGTAGTAGGGAGTGGCAAAATAAAAACCCCGTCGACGACTCATTTCACCTTTTCAAAGGGTAGTTTAAGGGAGAGAAGGGAGGGGAGTAGCACAAGGGCCAAGCAATAGGGATTAAGCGATAGCGACTGAAGGGGCGCGAGATGCATGCAACACAATGTAAACCAAGGCCGGGCGATGATATGGAAATGAGTATAAATTCATCCTCATAGCGTTTTTATTCCAAAAAATGTGAATATACTTAATTTATTAATGATTCATATGAATACTGGAAGGAAATGTCTATCGAGAATGCATTCAACGAACCTTCCGATAGACAAATGCAACATCCAGTCCATCCACACTACCTTTCGAACGCCCCAATTCTGTAGCTACTGGAAGGTTGCATGGATTTCATTCAGTATGGACAGGAAAGCTAAGTCTGAATTACAATTAGAAGTACTTTTCAAAGACGATGGGGGAGAACCATGACCGATTCTAACTTAATGGTGATGCTAGTAATGTTAATAGATAATCAAGTTACAAAGCCTCGTTATCGAAGTCTAAGAGAATGCCCAAGTAGGTATAATTTACTCAGGTAAAAAGTAGTGCCAACCATGGATTCCGATTAAAAACGACAACTGTAACCAACAAAAATGTGCAATATAGAAGCATACCTACCAAGCATTCAGAACAGCTAGACGCGTTCAAGGTACTCCTCGCACAATTTTTGGCTACTTTACCCTGACATAAACACATAGGAGAAAACTAATATAGAGCCCAGCAGTATCTCACAGGCGATCGAGTTCCAAAGTTAAAAAAGTGCATTAATTTAATGTTGGGTTGTTTAGACAATTAGAACCAATGAACAGAAACAATAAACACAAATGTGCATTACAAGTGCAAGTACAAGGTACCACCTACTAAAAGTGCATTTTTGATCAAACATCACACAATAATATTATGAAGCAAATTTGAAAAGGGCGAAGTCAGAATGTGAAGGTGAATACCAACATACGCGAGTCATCATCAGCAATGGCCAAATCCACGGAGACGGCGCAAGCAAGGGCGAGGGATTTACGCCGGAGGCTGGTGCGCTGCATACCCTCGTGCTCATCACGCATTCTTCCGTCGGAGAGGAGATGGGTGCCCCCGGGCGAGATGAGACCGCTCGCCCCTGTGGGAGTGGAGGCGAGGCTGGAGTAGGTCGACTGCTGGTCGCCAAGACAGGTGGGCGAGCTAAATTCCACACCGCGCGAATGTGGCGAGGCGAGTGTGAGCCGACGATGGCGCAACGAACCCGAGCGCAGCACCGAATGACGTTTCATTACAGTCTCTGAAGGTATAACGGGCTTTAAGCAATTATTACTGAATTGATGCTGAGTGATCACACCTCTGAAACTTCACCTCGGCCCGTCTTGGCTAGTTTCGACCACGGTGAAAGTTAATCATCATGGCCGGAGATGCGTATTAGTTTGTGGTTATCTCCGGAACCACTATTTTGCTGAAAATGGGAACAAGCTCAAGTCTCATGCTACCTTTGAAAACTTGATCCTCTGGCAATAATTTAATCCGAAAATCCAAAAATATTGGGAATTAGCCTAGGAATCTAGCTTATCAAGATTTCCCACGATCAAATAACTGTTGCCATCCAGGAACGAAATATGAGATGCATATTCTCATCTGCGATAAACTTGAGCGCCTTTAACACTGGCATTTCATTCTGACTTCTTTTGTTTGTTAACCATCGCAAAGGTGTACAGATATTATTTCAAATACGCCTTACTTTTTCAATCAATCAAGGATGCTTCAGTTCTACCATGGAATCAGTAAAAGATGAAATGGTTAAATAGTCGACAAAGAGTTTAGAAATGAAGTGATTCAGGGAGCCGAAAGTACTGGAGCTGGAATCGAGAACGTAGCCTATCGACCGCCTACTGTACCCACCAAACCCCCCTGTACTGCCTATCATGCCTTCCAGACCTCCACATAGAGATGGCCCCTTAAAATATATGAAGAACGCCTTTTGTAATTTCATCCTATTCTATCAAAATTTTCAATCTCTCTTCCCGAGCAGTGTACCACTGGAATGGCAAAAAATGACGATGTCTAAAGCGCATGCTTCAATAGTTAATGAAACGAACTTCTTTGAATGTGGAATAGGGTATTCCATATTTACTGACAAGTACTCCCAAATTTGAGGAGATTATGTGTCAACTTACCAGCTGACTTAATGAAGGAGAGCTTCTGAACGCAAGATGTCGCCTCGAATTGCGAAATATTGCCCAAAGCAACACTAAATGGTTGGGAAAATTGCCGTAATACCCCACAATTGATATCGAAGAGTCTCAGCGCATAGTAGAGCATCATCACTAGGTACTTCAAAACGAATTCGTCGCAATTATAAGGACATTAGAAGTTCTAACAGCAGATCTGAAACGTAAACTTAGTGCTACCTGAGAAAGTGTGACAGAGGTTGTTGGGATTTTTTAAAGAAAACCAGTTTAGACATGAACCTGAGGTCAGATACCAACAAAACAGCAAGTATTACTATAGTGAATTGAGTGATCAAAGTCTTAGCTAGTGATAAATTATCCGACTATGCAGCAACTTCCAAACGGTGCTACAACATGAAGATAAAAGTTAATTCACATTAGTACTCTTCTAGCATAAAATGTTTTCAGATATGATATCACAAACGTATTTATATTATATTTCCAATGCGATTAGGTCCTTAATTCGTTACTTAAGGACACACAACAAAGAGTAAAGTAAACGGGTGCATACCGGGTACCGTTGATATATCCACTCTTCAGCTTTTTAATGACTGTCACCACGGAGGGAAGTAAGGAGTCGGATTCTAGACAAAAATAAGACATGTACGGGTAACTAGTGCTACTGAGGTTTGGATAAGTAGAACTGGATGAAACACGAGGTAAGGTAAGTAGAGGCCGATGCACACGGGCCCATTACTGACCAACTGGCGTGGACGTGACTGCAGTACGCTGCGCATCACGAGCTGCCCTCTGCTAGGCATAAACACATACACGCACACAGGTTTTGTGTTGCAGAACAATGGACTACCGGTTGTGCCTGCCCCATCGATCCAATGGAAGCAATGAATAAAAGGAGCAAAGAGAAGTGACGTTGCTAGATGAAGTTATACTGTTTATTGCTATTTAACCCTCCTGAAAGTGGAGGTATCAAGGCAATTATTTCATATGAAATGCGGAACCTTGAATCGATGGGATACTGGAGAAAATGAATTTAAGGGTATTTGGAACTAGCTTACAACGATGAGAGATATTTCGAGGGAAGATCAAAATGTCAAACCACCGAAAGTGACACGGTGGTGAATATGGTGTAAGTTAGAGGAAGGGCTTATGTACAAGTCGATCAGGCTCGACAAATAAACTTAAGTTTGAATGGATTGATGATGAGTGGGTGGGTGGAAAGGGTACGAGTAGACTGATTCGCGATGAAGATGGATGAATGGACTTAAGATGAAAAGAGAACTATCACATAAAGGAAATTTATTGACAGCTGAAAGTCAGAAGCCACTTTAAATCCAAAAAAACGCACTTCTCGGTTCTTTTGATCCGCAATTCAAACCCATTCAGTGGTAAGCTACCCAGAGACCTCAAATCTTTGAAAAAAAGGAATTTTTTCGGCATTCCACAAAGAAAATGAGAGGGTAAAGAGGAGATTCACCTGGTCGGACAAATCTCTCAGCAACGGGAAGGAGAAGAGTGGGTCGGCCGGGATAGGCCCAAACACGTCTCAGAAAGGCCACGTTGGAGCGAAACTCGTCGAGGGTGAAGTTGACATCGAGGTTCACATAGAAGGAGTGGCTGTCAATGAACTAGGCGAGAGGAGAAAAAAAATAGTCCAATGGCAGCCCGAGTAAGGCTACATTCTAACTCAGAAAGTGCCGTTTTGGTTAAGCATTTGGCCATATCGTAAATCCTGAGAGAAACTGAACCACGATGCAACAGTTTATGACCCAGTGACCGCAGCAAAACGGCATAGTGTATAGCTGTACAAACATTGAGATACGCTTCAGGTTGAGCTGATAAACAGCAGATGTAACTATATTTTTGGTATAGGTAACTATTTGTGAATGAGAGAAGATTAGGCGAAATATGTGAGAGATGACAGAAAGGTTAGGCAGATAGTGATTTGGTTAGTCCAACGAGTAAGAAACTTGATGGAGCCTCCCGCAATCACTAACTTTTTCATTTAAAAGAGGCTCGAACTCGCCTAGTGACCCGATCAAAATACGAGAGAAACCAGGTAGTTACCTCCACGTAATGTTAATGGAGATACCTTTGTTTGATAAATCATAAATGATTTGGGATTTTGAAGTGATAAAAGTGGAGCATTTGATCATCCCGTTGAGGTCATAACCTCACGCATAGTAGCCGATGAGCTACATTTGATCCAAGTTTCAATGCCGATGACAACGATCCATCCTAATTAAAAAGCTTCATCGACGAAGTATAACGGGATTAGGAAGATAAATAGGTTGTGTAATAGCGTTACAATGTTGGAGCATATGTAAACGGCCGTTAATACAGGCAGCGTGAAGACTTACAACCTCTAGCTGATGCGAGCACGTGGTGAGAATTAAAAAACGGGGCGGTTGGTGAAGAATATCCAAGGTGGCTGCCAACAATCGTGAAGAACAAGCGTTTAGCAAGTGACTTTAAATGCGTCCGAAAAAACAAAAACAAAACGTTGGGTTTCATACCGGATAAAATTATCGCACTAAGCGACATATATCTGGTAGCTATAAATAGAGGCGTAAAAGTAAGCCTAGTGTGTGCAACGTCAAAGTGAAACTGGATGACTATGGTACCTGTGGAGTGAACGCCATCGTGGTGTTTCCGATCCTATAAAGCGAGCTTGTCGCAATCACACCGAGATCCCTAGCCGTTCTTCCTGAGAGGCCAAGCTTGGGACAGCCGCCTTGAGCAAATAAACCAAGGAAGAAATAAGACAATTTTAGTCAAGATTAGTACTTTGGTGAATGGAAAATTAATTTGCCCAACGCATTCTGTGTAGCTGACATACATAATCTCAAAATCGGCTTTTATCGAGAGTACTCTGCGATACCTTCGATAAGACCGTTTTTGTACTTGTTTTAAACAACCGTAGAGAACATGTTACGGCTCACCAGAAAATAACTTGGAGGATCCAATAATTTACCACATAAAACGAGCTTCTGCTATGAGACGGGTCAATAGTTCTTCATCTTAGAAAATAATATAATTTTTCACCTATTTTTTCACCAAATCGTGCACCTTTCACAGATGACAGTCACGTAGGCGGAAAAAATCTCACCAAACAAACTTGACTCCGACAACACACAATCAAAGGATAGGCAAAGTTAATAAATTATGGTACTGACAACAGTAATTCACCCGATCAACTGCAAAGAACACAACTTTTTATGCAAGAGTGAGACAAATGAAATGTTTACTCAATTAGTAGATAACTGAGTCAGTACATAAAGTGGGATGAATGGCCTGATCCAGCTCGAAGAAGATATGAACATGACGAATAAACTACCCAGCTAAAAGTAAATAGTCGTGTAACACTTATCTTTAGTCTATTATGACAGACCATAAGCCTTGAGATACCGGAAAAGATTCTTACCAAGCTGATTGTAGATTTGTAAGAGCACCTTAGCTGAGTATATCTGAATTCCAGAGTCACAAACCACCTCCGAGGGGGTCTGCACATCCAGATTAAACTCCGCCAGACGCTCCTTCACCAGATCATCCTCCGCTAACACGACAATCTGCACGACCAAGTCGGGTTTTGGCTCCGAGGCCTATAGAACATCACTTGCCAACGCAGTGACCGTCGAAAAGTGGTTAAGGAAGGTGAGGAGAAGTACTTACCATTCGTCGACCAAGAGGATCAATCTCGCCAGGCAACAGGAGGCGGTCCATGATTAGGCGAGATAGGATGTACATCGACTGGCCCCAGAGGTGCGGCGCCGAGCCGATGGGAATACGCACCTGCGAGTTGTGCGCTTTTAGCTCCGCGTCTATTTTTTCCCCCGGCAGAGAGTAAAGCTCTGGCATGATGGGGTAGAGTGCATCGTCGGTATCTGTGGCGGGCTTTCTAGTGGTCAGCTGTATCACCGGATCATCATGTCTATCATGGGGAATTTTCTGAAACAGTGAAATTCAAACATTATTTCGAGATAGAATACCATAACAGAGCTAAATCGTCTTTCAATCACGAGCTCTCAATTGGGCTACTAATAGTCCTGTGGGTTTTATAGTAGTCTTGGGACAAATGGGGCGTTACACTAAAGATGGCGATAAGCCAGTTGAATGCTGTACTTAAATGTCACAGGAGGGATATTTCAGATGCTGATTCCTGAAAACTTGGGAACTTATAACAGAAGAGTTACTGAAACCACCTCAACTTTTGGTAAACACCTCAATCTCGAAGCCTGTACAAGAGCCAAAACTGGATTTGAACAAATAGAAACACCTTTCAATGGAATCTGACGATAATACACACCCCAGCCTTTCGTAGTTAGAATTTGAAAAAATTAGGGCAGATGAAGGGGCAAGATCGAAAATGGTAACGAAGCAGAAAAAGCACTCCATGAAGCTACCACAAACTGTGATTTTACAAAATGCTTTCGCACTTAAGCAAATGCATCCATGAACGGTGAATGTCGTGAGAAATGCCGTCGCCACGAAACATAGAATTGAGCAGTAAAAGGCAAGTGAACTATCGCATTGGAGATAACATGACCAATAGATGTACCAAAAGCCACGAGAAATACCAATGTCATTTGAATTGAGTGTCTTTCCGTGCTGACTGAAAACCATCCTATAGTCCTTCTTCCTGTTTCACGGACAGTTATAATGCACTCAAATGACTTCTAAAGTTCAGAACAGAAGAGCACGGAAAGCGTTGAGAACGGCGCAAAAGACTACATGACAGCGATATTTGTTCATATGAAGCCATGTTCATACCACTAAACCAAACTGTCGCTCATCGTTTATATCCGTCGATACCAAAGCCATACTTAGATATATACGTCTTATACCATAGGAGTGTTAGTAGAGGCTAGAAATTTTGTACCGGTAGTGATTGGATAATGCTTACAAAACTTCGCTCAACAAGCGATGACTCACCCGATGGAGCACGATTTGGTCCAACTGATCCATGTACTTTTTGGCCAGATCAAATTTGTCATTAAAGCATGCACCGATAACAAGGTAGGTGAAAAAAAGTGGCCACTGGCATTCTATGCCGTCGAACATTCGCAACTCCCAAGGCTCATAATGCAAACGACTAGGGTCCTCTCTAGCCGTTTTGTAACCGTCTCGAAGGAATCGGATGCATCCATAACTAATAATAAGGAGGAAGGATTGAAATGAAATCCCAAGGAAACTAAAGGCAACAAACCTGCCCAAAAGTTTGGACAATACTGTGTTTCGTGTTCGCTCGATAAGTGCCTCGTCAGTGACAGCAAACCCAGGATAGCTTATAATTCCCAGTAGGGCTGCATCTGTTTCCTTTGAATACGACTCTCGAGGGAGCATGTTTTCAAGAACTGTGTTGCATTTTTGACATTCATCCATGAGGCAGTGGATTGTAGAGTTGGCACCACCCTGAGGTCCAAAAAGATCTAGGCCGTTCAACGACTCCAACGCCGCCTATAAAGATAAATGAGTCGGCAAAAAAAGGCGCTTTACTTTAGCGAGACCCACAGAACTGGTGTTTAGTTCCGGAAGGCCGTGATTGGTTTTATCACCGCGCTCCCAAATGCCATAATCCTGGATCGTGGTTAACAAGTTTAACATGAACTTACTGGAATTCGTGAAGCAGGTTCGATGTAAAACACGAGATTTTGAATAAAAGCAACTTCATCAACAGTCCAGATGATGCGAAGTCCTGAGGGATTAAATGTCAGACAAGTGCCGAACAGGTATATTTACCCGATGCAGTCATTTGAGCCAACGCAAGTAGATAGAGCGAAACCGCATCAATTTGAAGATGTCCCCATTCGTAGTCCCCAACAACAGCTTTGCAAGTCCGAGAATCGAACTTCGCATGTAGAGAGGAACTAGCGCATTGGGTCTTTTTAAAGCTCTCCACCTTATCTGCTTGATACATGTAACACTTCAATATTCCTCTCATTAGGTTAACAACACACTAAATTCTTAGAAATATTAAGTAATAAGGCACTTTTTCCAATTCATAACCCCGCGACCGATCTTCGTCCACATCTGGAACTTTGCGATAAGCCATAGAAAGCCCCCATATCGAAAGAGATGCGTAAACATTGTCTCTGACCCACGCGTGAGGATTTGAGGGGGAAGCAGGAATGAGTCCCGTCACAACATCCTACAAAACTAGCTGTATCTATTTTCGTACTTGAAGCGAGAGAATGGTTTCACTGATGAGTCCATAATAGTAATCTAGCTTATTCTTGTCGATTCCCATCAGTATGAACAATGAGGGCGTGCGACCGAGAGTAACACGGTAGCCTGTTCATCAATATGAACATCATTTACATCATCTGTTATTTCATAATTTGATTTGATTTTAGTAGAAGACTGAAAAAGGCCAAAAAAGCTGCTAAAGGCGTTAGAGTAAAGTTATTGCATTAAGATAAAAGGCATTTTAACTACTAAGGGCAATATGATTGCATACTGTCTCCCACAAATTATAGTAAACATTATTACGTACTTAATCGCATGTTTTTCAAGTAATTTTTCTCTCAAAATTTAGCATTTTTACGCCAATTTTTATGCATTAATTCCACTTTTAATATGTCTCTAAAAGCCACTATCGAGGATCGAAACGGTGTCTGCGATATCCAGCAAATGCCCTCCTCAGTAAAGTCAGAGCTTTAGTACTTCCCATAGAAACCATTATCTGTGGCAATTTCCTTCACTATTATAGAGAGAGGTAGTGGTGCATATGAAACGAGCCTCGTGACTGGGACGTCAACGTCCTGCAACCCGGAGAGAGGTTCCGCATCCACACCGCCCTAAACTTGTTCTTTCTCCGTTCATCTACCGATCCTTATAAACATGTCGAAGTCGAATTAACCTGGGCGTTCTAGGAGTATAAAGACCAGCAAAGAGGAGATCTACGAATCACGTCCCACAACGGGCTTAGCTGGAGGGCACAAATTATCATTTAACATGCACCATGTACCACCCAACATCATGGAGTAGGAAATGTAAACCGAGAATTGTGTTAAACATTCGAGCAATTCATCAAATTCTACACCGGTCTACCCAAAATCTTCTCCGCCAAACTGCCCATGATCACAATGGGCAGGAATCCTAGCACTGTGAGGTATGTAGCCACCTTAGCCGTGGTGGCTTCTTCCATGCGAGTCCTAACGTCAAAGATGTTGTTTCCTTGCATATTCTCCACATAATTTCCATGGTCGTCTATCTGCATGGCCTGTGATCGTCGAAGGCAGTCGAAGAGGAAGTTGCATGCAGCAAGGTTCAGCAGGACAAAGAAGGCTAGTAGCATCGAGCCAACCATGGCGCAGTGATAAAAAGCAGAACGTGAGAGGATAACAAGGGGTCCTGCGAATGCGTAGACCACGCTACCCACGATAAGGAAGAGACTGGAGGCAGTGAGGACAGGTGAGGTGCGAAAGTTGTTGTTCAAGCAGGAGTAGTACAGAGTGTGCGCTTGATACATCTCCTCATAGATGAGTGGATAGGTGCCGACGTAGCCGCCAGAGCTTTTTTCCGGTTTGACTAATGTTTCTGCATTCTTGTACCAAATGCCGGTTGTGAAAGTAACCTGTGATGCAGCAATAACTTGCAAGTTACCAGATGCCCGTAGTGTTAAAGTCCATATCGACAGGTTTCTACCTAGAAGTCTATCCCTGTATTAATGCCGTTTGCTTAATCTTTCGTTAAAAACGTAGATCAAAATGCATAAAATAGAAAGGAAGTTACGTACTTTCGCTTCAAGATTGACCTTCTGCAGTAGTGGCGTGTGAGCTTGCATGTTCACAAATGCTTTAAGATGCAAAGAATGCACCATGGCTTTATCTACAACCAGGCAGTACGAGAAGACAAATAAACTGATAAAATAAAGGAGAGCAAAAACGATGAGGTAGACTTTCTCCTTTTCCGTGACAGCTGCCTTCCATTCGGGCGAAAGTACGAAGTAGACTGCCGAACCCTCGATATTCCGAATTGTATTTGACACAAATTTACCCTTATTGTCAGCTATGCCAATATCACCATTTCTCGCGCCTCGCCACATGATGCTGTTACGAGTGAACGAGGTAAACTGAAGACCATGTCAAGTTTAAACCATCTTGTCATCGTGCCCATGTGACTAAATTATTGACCAATGACACTCAAACCACTTAGCCAGACAAGTTATATCTAAGGGAGGCGATATATAGACGATGAACTCAGTGCGAATATTTTAAAAAACTAGTCGCAGTAGAGTTCTGAGCCTTCCTTAAAGAAGCAACTGATCATAACTGTGTGAAGGAAGGCCTGGGAAACCAGGGCTTGGCCCCTTTCGACCACATCACCAAAACGGGTTTCACGAAATGCGGAAAATAAGGAACTCAAGTAGTTGTGGCACGATCCACTTCTAAGTTATTCCCAAAGATCTGATGAGCCATCTGACGTATCCTATGAATTGAGATTATAATCTGCTGGCTCATTTTCGGTTGTACTAATCCTTTCAACGTATACCTTCAAATCTCATGTTTTTAGCAACAGCTACTTGCAATTCACATGGGGTTGTGTAATCGTTGTTGGAGGAGAGCAGTCTGTGACGAATGAAGTTTTTGTGTATTTAAACAAAATATCAAACCGGTGCATCGTCCTCAGCGTTGCCCTTAGTCGGTCTTCTGCATCAGACATCGTAACGTAGGCGGTGCTATGAAAGCTGCCAATAAACTGTCTACACCAGTCAATGAATTATGTTCCACGTGAGAAACCATTGACCTATTCATCGCCTACCAAGGCTCAATTCAGTTAGTAGAGAAGTAGAAGGGGTGTCGCTTTTAATATAGTTAACGTCGTAGATAGTTCCATAGTAGACTTTCCCTAGTTATTAAATTCTGGCTTTGCCTTACATGGTAACAGCCCTCTTGAAGTAGAAGAGATAGTAAAACGTAAAAGATAGGCCTCTTTTTCTCCATTCTCTTTGACTTCACATGTTTGTCCATCTGTAGTAGATGTCCTTCTTCCATGAATTTTCCGCAAAGTTGGCATCAGCAGAAGTGGTATGGGAGGATATACATCACTAAAAAATTGAAAGGTCAGAAGGTTACTAGCATAACCTGAAAGGTATGTTGCGGAGTAAAATCACATTCTGTGGAGAATGAAGTGTCCGCGTAGCTGGCCAGAGTTGAATGTCATCTTGGCTCTATATTTCATGCTACCATACTAATTCAGCTTCTTACAATTTTAAGGTAAAATTTAAATGTTACAATGGATTAGGTGCTTACAAATATAAGTTTTACCCTTTCATTGGTTTTTTATTGCATTTTGCTTTCAGTGGTTTTGATGCTAAAGTTCACCCACGTCTTTGTCAAGCTAAACTAAATTTTGCAAAAAAAATTTAAAAAAATATTGCGATCTTCAAAAATTGTGAGCATAGATGTGGACGAAGCCTATAGTAATAATTAAGTTTTTGTTTTACGGAACTGTCGTAGAAGCCGCCCCCTCCGTTCCATCCGCTTGTTTAGCCACTCTGGACGGTGCCGTTAGTCCGAGCCGAGTAGACATGCCTAACATCAAGATATTTGCTGGTAGCTCTAACGTTGATTTGGCTAAGAGGATAACCGACCATATCGGCATTAAGTTGGGACATGTCAGCTCTAAGAAATTTAGTAATCAGGAAACATGGTAAGTCTAAACATTTAAAAAGTCACTTGTGATAAGTGTTGAAGTTGCTGAGTCAGTTCGAGGTGAAGATGTTTACATTGTGCAGACTGGAAGTGGTGAAGTTAATGACAACCTGATGGAATTGCTCATAATGATTAACGCCTGTAAAATTGCTTCGTCCTGTCGAGTCACTGCCGTAATACCCTGCTTTCCTTATGCTCGGCAAGACAAAAAGGTATGGTTCCCTTATTGTGTCCTAAATTCTTTTTGCTCTTCTAAATACGGTCTGACTTTAAACTATTGCTCAGATTTACGAGGTATTTTGGGGAAGTTGCCATGACGTCTGCTTTCCTTCGTAGACAATTGCTTTGTTGCTGCTTTAGAATATTCTCTTGTCTTTATCGTATCCTGTATCGCATGCTTTTGATCCCTACATGTCCCACCCGAAATGGTATTAACTCATGCTCTCCCCTTGCTTGATTGAAGGACAAATCCCGTGCACCGATTTCCGCAAAACTTGTCGCAAACATGTTATCAGTTGCCGGTGCGGATCATATCGTGACAATGGATCTCCATGCCAGCCAAATTCAGGGCTTTTTCGACATACCTGTGGATAATCTCTACGCAGAGCCAGCCGTTATTAAATGGATTCAAAAAAACATTGAAGATTGGCAAAACTGCTGTGTCGTCAGTCCTGATGCTGGTGGTGCTAAGAGGCAAGGCGCTTTCTCTCATTTCACAGATTTTATGTCAGCTTTTTCGGTTAGCAGTAATAGTACCTTTTTCATTTTAGAGTGACCTCACTAGCCGACCAACTGAATGTGGAGTTCGCTCTGATTCACAAGGAGCGAAAACGTGCTAACGAAGTTGATAGGATGGTCCTTGTCGGTGACGTTAAAGGAAAGGTTGCCATCCTTGTCGATGACATGGCTGATACTTGTGGCACTATATGCACTGCTGCTGATCGGTACGTAACAGGTCTCTTAGACTATATCTAGAGTCGGCTTTGATCCCCAGCTTCCCAGAAATTTTGGTATGCTTGAATGATTAGTTGAACAAATGTTAAACTGTGCAGCTCGGTACTTCTGCAAAAAAGTTGGCTTTATTAAACAGAACAAGCAGTCATTCCTTTTCATATTCACTAGAGTGGAAAGCTGCATGATTGCTAATATTGTATCGCATCACTGGCCAGTTTAAATCGTACATGAATCAAACTTCGGCAATGTTTAGTCATCCCTACTCATTGCTTATTTGATGGTTGTTTTTGCTCATTTAGTTTGACTGAGGCCGGCGCCACTCGCATTTATGCAATTTGTACTCATGGTATCTTCTCCGGTCCCGCTATCGACCGAATCAACAAGTCTTGCTTCGAGGCTGTTGTTGTCACCAACACAATCGACCAGAAGGAGAACATGAAAAAGTGCCCCAAGCTCTACGTGAGTGCCTTTCGCTTGTCGTAAGGCTAGTCGAGATCGCGCCCTACAATTAGCTGAAGTTTTGCTATTTGGGGGGGGGGGGGGGTTAAGGCTGGGACATCACCTCATGTCTCCTTCCAGTTCCTCCATCTTGAGAGTTCTCATTTGATTAGTAGATTTCGTAGTGCATGCATTCACTTTCTCTTTGATTTTGTAGTACAGGATTTTTTGTTCTGATTATTCAGGGGAAGAAACCCTAATTCGGTTGATTATCAAACCAGAACTGCTTCTAAATTGTGTAGTTTGGGACAGGTTGTAAAACGCAATTTTGAAAAGCTTACGTGAAGGCGCCTATGTTTTCCTTTCCCCTTCAGTGCATCGACATTAGCACCGTACTGGCGGAGTCAATTCGGCGAACACACAATGGGGAATCAGTATCCTACCTCTTTAATCACGTGCCCCTATAACTAGCTTGACATTTGTCCTTCATTTCTCCTTTTCCTCCCTACAATGCTCTCACATTATTTGATCAATCCATGTACAGTATTCCTAGATCAGTTGCCGATGCAGTTCATTTGTGCACTTCTCCTCTCCTTCCCTCTCTATCTGTTAACAAGTTATTGTAAGAGAATACAGGCCTAGTTGGTGCAGTCCTCCCTTGTGTCCTCCTCGTTCCCCATTGTTGATGCCGCATATCTCTCCTTTTCTGCTGTTTGCTTGCTCTCCGGAATTTATTTCGGTTGAAGTTACAGTACTTTTTTCTAACCTTGGCAAATGAACTGATAAAGTTTGCTCCCCCTACATGGGCGTGGTAACAAGGAGCCCATCTAAAGCGCAGTCGTTATTGCTTTTCGCTGGCTGTTAGTATTGAGGTTTTGGAGGCAGGTATATTTATGGTATGTGATTGTGATTGGCACGTTTGAGGTGTCGGGGAGAGCAGCAATAACACAAATGTGATTTATTCTCGCGGTGGGTCACGTTTTTGGTGCCTGAAATCGTAGCATGTAAGGGTTTACTAGTACACGAACGTGCATTTTGCGGCTCCCGTTTGTAGTCTCAGTTGGAACTCGCATTACCCTTTGACAAGGGGCCAACAAGCATGTGGTTGGTTTTGTTTTTATTTCTCACAATAGGTACAGATATCCACATCTCGCTTTCTCATTTTCAATGCGTTTGAAGACAGATGATCAGCCCTCTGCCAACTTACGTGAAACTATTCATGACAGTGGGAAGGTTATCTTAGTTGTAGTGCCACCATGCTAAGAGAAAAGGTTTAGAAGCAAGACATGGTCTTTTACTGTTCGGGAATCACGTATGGATAGGGACATAAGAAGCTCTACTACTGAAGCTTAGAATCACCACTACGGAATGGAAGTGAGTTATGTTTGGAGGGTTTGGGCAGAGTATCCGTAGTTTATATCTAGTATCCACCTTGAATACCATGATGCAAGACTTTGGTATGTTTGTGTTACGTTAACCTACATTTCCTAGTTTCATACATTTCATCGCTAGATATGGAATAGCTGCGTCATTTCGACTGTAAGCGCAAAATTTAGCCGTAAAGTCCAGATTTTTCTAACAGAGGGTTATCCATTAAGTCATGCCTGTGCATAAGCCACCATTCCGCCGTGAACCTTAGGTGTTGGCTTGCCCTCTCAATATGTTACTTCACGTTTCTTCACACTTCAGTTCATTTTACCATGATATGCTTATTAGGAGATGGTAATTAAAGCATTCTATCTTATTCGTTGCCAAAAATGTGCATTCTGGCTTCCTGTTCACAAATGTATCCAGGACTATCTAGTCAACAAGGCTTCTTTCCACTGCTCCTCCTTCAGTCATGGCAGAATTGTTGGATCCACCAAAAGAGCCCAGGGAGGCTTCGAGAGCCCTATTCAAACGCCTTTGGCGTTCTACTTTGCTGGGTCAACCGCTTCTTCCCTTCCTCTTCCATAACACCGACTTTGAGTCTTCCCTCCTTCAGCAAGGCACTGATGGTGGCAATCTCCAAACCAGCACATCAAAACCATCGGCTACCTACTGGGATGTCACTCCCTCAGTTCCCTCGCCTTCATCAATTTTTGCTCCTAAGGTGAGTCCTTTTTGCGAGTTGGGTGTTTATGCAACCACGGGATGCTTATTCACTAAGAGCACTAAGACTCTGTGCCTCCATGTCATTTATAAAGTGGGTGCAAGATTATACTGCTTATAGGGAGCTAATTCGGGCGGACGATCATGGCTCTCTACTCAACTGTAGGCTAATGTCAATTAATCCTCATATCGCTAGCTTTGCCATTTTAAGCACTACTGATCAAGGATAGGGTGGATAATTGAGCTGTGGTTCGAGGAGCGTAGACCCTCGAGGCTAGCGAACCCAACTTATTCCTCCCTCCCTTCCGTAGCCAACTTGTAAGATCACGATGCCCAGCCGTATGCTGCAATGACACATTTTACTTTGGAGGCAAACGCAGTTCTCAGCCATGTCTATCAGCTTTTTGGAGTTCCAACTTGGACGATTAAGAATCGTTGTACACAGATGGTTTTAATATACTTATCTATCCTGCATTCGATGGAGTCAGAGTTGCCGTGAGAAATGCTGTAAAGGGCGTCAGTTACAACCTCGTAGGTTAAGAGAGAAACTTTTAATGCCGAATGCTATCAATGTAGAACTGAATCAACTCCTAATGAATGCCCTTAGTCGCTTCTTGTGGATTCTGGAAATAAATGCACCCAATACATTGCAATCAGTTCTACGATCAATTATCCGAAGGTACACGAGTTCCCATAATGTGATTCCTCCAGTTCTTTAACTAGGCTTGTTATCGGAAGCCCTTTATCTGAGTTTCACTAAGTCGGTAACGCAGCTTCTATTTAGAGCCACTTTTTTTTTCTCCTGTCCATTATGCCTGTCATATGAGGGTGCTCGTGCATTCACTACCACGAGTTTTCGTACATGATACTGTTATAACATTCCATCCATCCATAAAACATGTTGACCTGACGGGCTGAAAATGTGTTTATTGCCAAAGCCTAGAATGCCTATGGGACTAGTGACATAAGTGATAAGAGCAGGGAGCTGTGAAACCAGCGTGGTGGCCAAATTCCAACGACTAAGGGGTCTATGGAATTAAACAGACAAAACAAATAGTATTCTGCTGCATTGAATCCTTTTGAGTGTCGCCACCGGCACTATCCATAGCAAATTTTCTATTTCGGCCATCTCAATTCGCTCATCGAGTTTTAATCGGCCTTGAGACGGAAACAAAGATCCTGCAAGAAAACTTCTCATTCCATTGGTGATAGTGATGATGCTCTCAAATGGTCTCACCTCTGTTATTCGAACTACTTCAGGGAAAGTTTATCTCAGCATTGCTATACGGTGTCCCAGAGCAAACATTTTCCGTACGATAATGGCTTTTCGAAGGAATACTTGCCCTAAGACAGTATGGAGTAATGAGCGGATCACTGCTTCAATGCGTAATCGTAAATTGCCTCATATTATTGCACGCAATTCCTTAAGTATGATTTTAATTCATTCCATTATGACCACATTCCACTACCCGTTATGCTGAATCTGAATTTGAAGTTGTAGTCTACTACCAATGCGATTGGGGCATTGTCGTTTGTAGATGGAGTGTCAACATCTATGAACTCGCGCCTTGATCGAACTCATCTAGTGAGCAGTATCGAATTCAACTCGCATTTGATGCCATGCATCTTAACTTATTTCGGCGAGCATTCAGTGTCACTTTAGTGTTGTCGAGTCGATCTTATGTGACTCACTTGGCCCTCATCCACGAATTTCGATAAACCTGTTGTGAATCGCCGCAGATTCAGTCATTTATAGCAAATAGTTTTCCCATATGATATCCTGGCTCAACATTTGTAGTCATTGAGTGGGCTCTCTAAGTGCCACCATCATTTTACTGTCCTAGTCTTTCTCATTACGCAATAAGACATGTCAGTCTGAAAGTGGAGGTCATAAATGACCCGGCTACGACGCCTTAGCAGCAGCTTGATAGTCAAATCGTGAGGACAGAATATACTCCCTGCAGTTAATTATACAATCTTGATTAATCTCGCTCTACTAAATAGTGCTTTCCTTGGCATAGGTCTGCTTCAGCTGTTGCAAATCTTTCGGTAAATTTTAACCAATCTCGCGGCAGGAGCAAAGACTAAGTTGTGAATGGACTCTATTTCATCAGTAGTGGAAATTCGATTTCTCAGTGTTGCGATCTCTGTTAGAGGAAATGAATCGAGGAATGTCGTATTTAAGAAGCATTGTTAAAGGTTTGACAGTCTTTTGCAGGGAATATATTCTGCGCACCAACAGCTTTTCGTGGAAACAATTGCCCAAAACCAACATCGAGGGAAGGGGCAATCCCATCCTAAGATTTCAATAAGCTGCTATACTATATTTCTAAGTGTTATTTAAGGAGAATTTAGAATAGTTTGTTTTCGGTACCTTTCCATTACTTGAGATCAAAGGATTGCTAAAAGTTAACCGTTCCAAAAGCTCTTTGCTGCGGGTCCCCCCTAACTTCCCCTGACAACCATTTATTACTGATCCCTTTCTTCTATGACTGGTTTAGTGTATTTTTGACCAGTTTTTTAGAGTTGACTCACTTTTCATTTACACTAATGTACCATTCCAAGTGGTACTGAGGCATACCAATTTAAAAGTAAGTTTATTATAAATGCGCAGAAGGTCTGGGGACTGTTTCCATAAATGACATGAATAGGCCGCCGCGAAACCAGGGACTGAGGGATCCGTGGAGTGAAATATAAAATGATACAGGACTGTTAGTTTACTTCCTCATCTTTTTTCCCTCTGTGCCTAGACTAGGTCGCTCCTCAGCATATATTGTTTCCTGTAAATAAAAACTCACTTTGGTGATTGGAGCATTCTTTACTTTAAGTAATTGTGAAAGTGAACATTTTGTAGGTGGACATGGAGGTTTTATCCTCTCGAAATTCAGCCACAATCATGTGGTAACCTTTTTAAGGAAAAATAACACTTCAAATTATTTTGTTTGTTTGTTTCAGTGATTTACGATGGCTATTTAGGTGTATGGGTGTCCATTCGCTCTACCCGCTTATATTCACTAGTACTATACCCCCCTCCCTCCCTTTATTGTTAGCGCCGCCACCAGACGCCTGACCTCACGTACCCAGTTTGGGTGACAACATGGTGTGTGTTTACACCTTAAAATGCACGTCTAATCTTCTAGAGTCTGCACACTGTTCAACGCCTAATTCTGAAACAATGGGCTCCCCGCGCGATAAGTGGAGCGGATCTTCTGAAGGACTGCCTGGCTAATCGGCGGTTTCTCTCAACGGGCTTTTCTCAGTACGTCCATATCATTTTTTTCTCATATTCCAAATAAGAAGGGAAAATTAACGTTTGTAGTACAGGACTTGGCAAATGCAGCGGACGATGGGACGAAGGGTACTTTCTGAGTCCAGCCCCTGCTCTGCGCTGTAAACTTCTCAAACTGTTGACGTGCTGTGCCTGTGTTCTGAAGAAAATCCTTTTTAAATAGGAAGGGTGTAAGGGGGCTCAATTATATCACGTTGTAGAAGTACAGCATTGAATGTATAACACCATTTCTTGGGTGTTTATGGATACCTTTGGAAGTTGTTTGTACGCTGTAAACAATTTAACCTCTGCACTTTGATGATCAGATTGCACCTCTACGCTTGACATCCATGTTCCAACGTTCGCCAAAGTGCATCGGTCACAAGCTTGGTTGGGTCACTTGTTATCTACCCCATGTCAGCCAGAGCGGTTTTATCCACGCCTAGCTAGTCAATACGTGATGATTTGCATAAATTGTAACTATTGCGACTGTACGAAAGGTTAGGAGCCGACAAGGTCGTTGCCAGTTGTCACAACCCATAAATGCTGACATTTCATAATGTGCCATCTACTTATTAAGGCATTTTTGCTTCAGTAGTACACAGAAATTTTGATTTCTCTGCAATATGTTACCTTGCAAAGTCACTACCGAAAAATACAGTAAAACCACTGATATCTGGTCCAGAATTTTGATCTGTAAACATCGCGTCCTTGAAACTTTGAAATTTTATGTCAAAAATAGCTAAATCAACTTCCCCAATCAGAACTCATGCAAAAGAATAAACGATATTCTTCCAGAACTTGCATGATACAATGAGATCGTGCAAATCTGAAATTTTGATCCACTTTTACTGATATTACTTGAGAAGGTGAATTCGTGTGCAAAACTTATGAAATATCTTATTGGCTGTTTGTTACCAGCGTCACCTCTATGCGACATGCGTTTTTCGTCAGGTTCTGCTGACTCGTTTCACCAGGTCACAACGATTTTCGGAATTGCAAATGAATCCCTCAGCCTTATTAGCTCTAAAAGTCTGAGTAAGAATGAATTTCGCCTTTTTCTTCTCAGACTCGATTCTCTTCTCAACGGTGGTTTAATGACTGGCGAGATAACCGAAGTTTTCGGGGCCTCAGCAGTCGGAAAGACGCAGGTAAGGTGCTGATTGTTTTAAAGCATCTCCAAAATTAAGTACTTATTTTTCTCTACTCATGTTTTTTGTAGATCTGTCACAGCGCCGCAGCGGCTGCCGCCATTTCATCACATCTTTTTCAGCCCGACACACCCTTATCTGAATCGTTGACGGAGGCTCGTGGTCCCACAGTCCTCTATCTCGACACCAAGGGCGAATTCGATGCCACCCGATTGCGAAGTATCATTCGCTCTATGCTGAAAAAGAAGTGCCATCTGGAGGATATGGTATGTTACCAATGCGTGTATAATCGTCTCTTCCAGTAACGAGTATAGTACTGCTGTTTCTTATCCAATATTCCAGTCATTTCTGAAGAAGTAACAAGAATTTTTATTGTTAATGCATGAAGGGGCCAGGGGAATAGTAACATAAAGGCTTCAAAGTGGAGGTACTGTTTGAGGGAACGTATTACTGCGAAGTGCTTGAAAAGATATTGAGAATAAGGAACTAGAGTGACTGTTGCATACCTTCGGGACTTACAGTAGACTTGGTGGCCACAGTAGATGATTAACTTACAGGTCGTGTTTTCATCCCCAAAACGGAAGTTGGACATTTAGCCTCTGCTTTCACATGCCGAGCATATCAAGCAAACGTATTCGCGCCCTATAAATAATCTCGTCAACGAGTTGTTGAGACGGTATTTCTTATGGAGGCATCGGATGGTCTTAAACCAAATCTGATTCGATAAAGACACGATCCTTTGGAATTTTCTTGAAACATGGTCTTAGTGGTTCAAACAGCGATAAAAAGTCCCCAATGCCGACAGAACTAGGCGACATTTGTTTTGGGTGGTCACAGCTTCGGGACATTTACATCAGAGGAGTTAAAGAGATCTTTTTAAGAATTAAAAGCGAATGAAAAGGGAAAAACAGTGGTCGCACGCATTCAAAATAGCTGCCGATTTTTTGTTTTCGATGGCAGCAGCGTCTGAGAAATCACTTTTTGTGCGAAAGTGGATGTACATCTTACAATACTGGTAAAGGATTTTGAGTCTCAGGATTTCGGAGGAAGATTACTAGGCATTGTTACAGCTGGCTAGGTCCACCGACTTAAAAATTTCGGGAAATTTTTCACAAAAGCTTGAAAAGAGTGTCATGGGAAGAATTGATGGTTTCAGTTTGCTGATTTTGAGGCCCAAAAGCACTGACCATAGTTGCGAGACGATTATCTCTTCCAGACTGTAAGTTGTCAATTGTTCACGAGAGCCGACAATTCTCACAGCAACATCGACGAGGTATTGAAATGCGCTTTTTTGGTTTGAGCCACGTAGCGAAGTTTTGTTGTTTTGAATTAACCAAACCAAGGTTATCATCCCTTTGACAATCGTACGAATAGACGTTGAACCGAACAGAACTAATTCAAAGACGCCCCTTCCACTTGAGCTAGTTGTTTCAAGACTCCTCTCTCCATTCTTGGGTACGTTTACTGCTTCGATTTTCTCGCTTCACCTTGCATGTTGTACAGCTTTAACATAGTTACTTGAATAGATTAAGTTGTAATGAAGATAAAAAATGAGGAAAGTGGCGTCCCATAAGAACAATAAAACGTCTGAGTTATGGATTAGCGAGCCTGTCAGGCTAACAACGCACTCCCTTCCAACTTTTGTCGGTGTGGTTGTATCGGTGGATTTATTACCTCTGAATCACTATTTTGGACATCTGAAAGACTACTTTATTGTTGAGACTATGTTCGAGGCATTTTTGTAAATAGAAACCTAGCATGAGGGTAGCCTAGCATCGGGGTGATTAGTGGAAACTATGGAACTGTGGCGCCCTAAGCCTTTTCTGGAGACGAAAGAAGTCAGAAAGTGTACCTTTGACGTGCAGAATGGCAACTTCACTGATCCCTCTTGGCAATTTACTGGATCTGGAGTTTCGTCCTGTTTAAGGATTTTATTGGGGAAATGGGGAATGTGCGAGCCACCACGTATATCCATCGATGGTCGTAAAAGCACTGGCCCAAAAGCAGAGACAGGTTTCGCGCCTGTCCCTCCCCACCACTTTGTTTTCACTTCAGTGCCACAGCCATAACTATTTGGATTCCATACAGCTAGTAGAGAGGTGGAGAAGGTCTTGCACGTTCATCTACTTCACACCTTCGTGCAGGCATGGCAGACAGCTTCGTAACCGACTTTTGCGGATAGTTCACGGCCATGGCTAGTGTCGCTTTAGTTGTTACTAGTATTCCCGCAGAACATGGGACTGGGGTAGTCATTGAAGGTAGACGTCGTTTTCAACTCCTCTTTTAGAGACCGCCACATATTTGCCCATCCGCAGGCAATGTTCTTCTTCCATCACGGTAATGCTTAATATTCAATAATAGGAATCAGGGTAGTTACCTTTTAAGATTAAGTTTGCTTTCCTCTGACACCAATGTAGCGCTCCGAGTCTTCCCTGAAGGAGGAGGAGGTCATTTCAGTATGATGAAGGATATATTACTGGTGTACAGAAGAGCTGAGGCTTGCGGTATGGCCCAGAGGCCATGCTTGCAAACAGAAGTAGAAAGGTGGATTCTTAAGTGCCTGCGTAACAAAAACGAAGAGCTAAGCAAACAAAGTATTGCAGAACAGCATCTATCAAATAATGTGGAGGATTCATGTGGATGGAGTTTAATGGGAAGGGGACATCGTCAAGTTCCGATTAATGCCCATCTCCACCTTAACAATATGCACAATAAATATCCACTTATCAAGCTCTTGTTTATGTGCAGGCCTCCTTGCTATTCACACCCTATACGTGTGATCGTGTTAATTTATGCCTTGTTTAGATCAAAAAATTTGTCAGCTTTTGGCTGAAGCTGAGCTATATTACGGCCCAAATTTTAGCTAACACCCTATAATCATAAAATTCTCCCTTGATTCGTTTCATTTGCAATTAGGCCACTCTCTTGGGAGAAGAACGCGCTTTTATTTAACTGTAGCTTTCTACCATTCCTCACCCTCTTTTAAATTCTCATATTACATGTGCAATCAAGTAAGCACTGGTATCTTGATTAACCCCGACAACTGCATATGCACACCATTTACAAGCGTCTGATAGATGGAAAGTATCTACTTTGAAGCACATGGATGGCAGATCTCTTCTCCACATGTTCTTATTTCTGTCAATAACTTCCATCATAGGGACTACTTTTTTTCTCCCTGACAGCTTTACTGTTTGTGTGTCTCGCATCGGCAGTGGAGGCACCACCAGACCTGTATTCAGGTGTCAACAGTAAACGTGGCCCTCTGAGTTGGTGTTTTCGCAATCTTGGAGCCGTGTATGGATGCATCTACAGAATGCCTGCGTTTTAAGTCTAAAGAACAATGTATTTTCTTCGGATATTCATAGTAGGAAGGTATTCATTTTTAACCGCCATCAACCTTGATTACTACCACGACACGGCTTTTAAAATGGCTGTATGTTTTTATCAGACTGTCTTTTTGTCAGCCTCTACCATCGTGATTGGCTGGTCGGCTAAGCGTTGCGGGTAGCACGATCACGAAAGTTTTTGAACCACTAGCTCATGTGCTGTGCAGACAGCGTGCTAAAGAGCCGAGTCGCAGTAAGACAAAAGGCCTTTCTAGGTCTCCTCAGCTACGATATCTCCCATTTTTCTAACCCAAGATTTGTCCCCTAGTATTCTTGTGTCTGCTGATTTGCATTGAGCTCATATATTTGTCACGATGTTTAATTCTGGACAAATTCTAAACTGCCCTTCCTCCATACCACGTAAGTTCCATTCTTGACAGAGAACGGTAGGTTAGTTCAGAGAATTTAAGGCCATGCAAGAAGGATGAAATCTGAGTGGTACCAATGTTTGCGGCTACGGTGACGGGAGTCACATGCCTTTTCATCGTCCACGTCAGTTTTGGGGTTTTTGTGTTGGAATTGTTAGCGTATATCCTGGTAAACACAAGATTATTCCTGAAATTCATTATCAGTCCGGGTTTTAGCCATCCTAAAACCTCCACAATGACCACATTTCTTTCAAATGGACTTTGTGTCAACGTTAATAGGAGATAGTAATGAATCTCGGATATTTTGATCATGCCACCACTTGTTCCTTCATTGAGCGATGACCCAGAAAAGAGCGTTCCTGTTTAGAGAACCACTTTGGAAATGTGACAGTACCATCGCTGGGGCTCCAATTGCCAACTCACTTTGCAATCCTTATGATAAAGCTCAGAAACATATGTAAAGTTTTTCTGATTTCTAATCCAATGTAAATTTTCCTCCTTTTCCATGCTGCTCTTAAACTAGTTCGTAGGGCTTTCGGCATCAGAAATGCAATAGATGTAGAAAGTTTCAAAGAGTGTTTTAGTTGTTGACATACCAAACAATAACAAAGTCCCATTCTTTCCCAGTTGGATGTGAGTTTGCTAATTCCACTTCTACAGCACGCGCT